TTGAGCGCTGGGCTGCAAGGCTGCCCGCAGCCTCTGCAGCGCTGGTTGGTTCCCTGGCAGCCAGCGAAGGTTCCACAAAAAAAAGAAAAGTAGTATGGCTAAGAAAATTATGTCATACTGATATGTTTCTACATCATCTGTAAGTGATTTGCTTTTTTTAAAATTTGATTTGTATGGTAGAATAGAACAGGCCAGTTAACCAGGTCCTGTGGGCCAAATCTATCCCTCTGCCTGTTTTCGTCAATAAAGTTTTATTGGAACACAGCCACACCCATTTTTTTTCTTATTGTCTAAGACTGCTTTGCATAACAATGGCAATGTTGAATAGTTTCAACAAAGACCTTATGGACTGCAACACCTAAAATATTTACTATCTGGCCCTTTACATTAAAAGTTTGCTGACCTCTGCGCTAGAGTAATTTTTAAAGTCTAAAAGAAGTGCAATCTGTTTTGCCAACTGTTAGTTAATACTGACAAGATTTTGGTTTTAGTTTGACATTTAAATTTTTTTAAATTTCCACCAGAAAGATAAAACTGACAGTGTTGGGTAAAAAAAGAGCATAAAACAATTCAAATATCTAGATTTTCTTTTTCAAATCCTCATTTACAATGTAGATGCTTACACATTTCATCTGCAGACATTTGTCTTTGTATGTCAAAAAACTGCTGAGATTTGATGATGATTAATCAACTCTTTTGAAAGAGATATTCAAATGAAAATAGTGAGAACAGAGTGTTTTGTTACTAAAATAAAATTGCACTCAATCTTTTAGGAAAACATTTTCTTCTGACCCTTCACTGAATTTATTATAGCAGCAGACAACACACCCAAAGCACTGAGCTAAAGTTTATAAAACTGACTCCTTCCCCATCATTTTTTCCTTTAAGCAGTTTCTTTTGACTGCCAGTTCATATTTTTCTGATTTCTCATCTTGGAATAAATGATGTTCACCATCCCTTGTACTGTTACACCCAAACTTCAGTCCCTAGACACAAATGAGACCCGAGATTGTTTTTCTTTTGCATTCCCCTGCCCAACAACTTTTTCTGTTGTCTGGAGATGAACTGTTTTGTAAGGCTCTGACCTTGACACATAAGGAAGTTCCTTCCACCCAGCTGCAAAAACATGGTATAAACAACTCACACAGTAGTTGCTAATAGTTCCACATACAGCATTTTCATCAGTCATGCAGACTGCCAATAGCAGTGTCAAGAGGGAGGAGTCTTAGTGTCTCAGTCTTCCTGAGTTGAGACTTGCCCACTGGCTGCCTAAAATGTACTGTCTTCCATCGTATGTTTGCAGTCAGCATATGACACTCTAAGGAAAAAGAAAATAACATTAACAAGTGTCTGTTTTTGTTATTGCCATTTCCTGAATGTATTAGTAGGTGTGCAATTTCATTGGATATTCTTTTTTTTTTTCAATTGTCTTTGTACCTATGATTGAAAACGGTAGTTGGTCTATGACTTTTGAGGAGGTAAGTTTTTTTAATCTATGTATGTCTGTATCATCAGTGTCTGTTTCTGAAAAATGCAGTATCCTCCTCCCAAAAGTTACTAACCCAACTTTCCGAGCTGTGTATCTCCTATGCAAGAGGGGAGGGAACTAATGGAAAGTTGCTGTGTGCTTTTTTGTTCAGATGGTATCAATTGTGTGAGATGGGAGATGTTTCAGTGTGCTGTGAGTTTTAAGGGTTATATAAGCATTGTCTCCTATAGTCTTTCTGAAAGGGAAGCAATTTTGCCTATTTTGCCCACAGGCTCAGCACATTGTTTATGCAAACTGATTGCATGCAAATATCTCAGGATTGGCTGAGGTTAATGAAGCTGACTTCATGTCTTTCTTGGGTGGACACCCTTTGCCAGAATTTCAAAATGAACCAAGCCAGGTTTCTGTCTTTCCCATACCCATCAAAACTCAACTTTCTTCCTCATTTTAGTATAAAGGCACACTTATTTTTGATCAGTTAATTCTGAAAACAGTTTTGTTTCCTTGGGAAAGGCTAGAAAAGCAGCCAAGTAACAATCACTCTCTAGTCCTTGGTAAGTGTGGACAAGTTCTTTATAGGTGATCTCTTTCAGTGTCTCCCTGTAGCACTTGGTGGCACTGGAGGGCTCCTCAGGACACCTTGCTGCCCCCAGGTTCATACTTTGGAGGACGATACTGCATTTTTGGCCCCATGACTTGCTTTCCACATGTCTGTGAGTGCAGAGCAGGAATCTGACACTTTCCACTGTGTTGCTTGCTTTGCAGACACTGAACTGAAGCTGCTTGCTAAAGCAAAAGCCAGGAGGCGTGTTCCCTAGTCTGTTTTGCTTTTTAAGGGACCCTCAGGTCTTCAGAATATCTGACAAGTCTTTCCCTCTCCATCCCCTACCCTGTTACCTAGTCCCTATAAGGAAGGCCCCAGTTGCAGCAGTCAAGGTAATGGGAAGTTGCTGGTCCGAATTTTCGCTGAGTTCTCATCTCTTATACAACCCAGGAGGTACTTACTCTAATTAATAATGGAGTAGCTACCTGATGTGTTTTTAAAATTACTTTGAACAAAGTATTTTTCCTTGAGCATTGAATGACGTTAACTGCAGGTTATTTTAACTCACTTCTAAGCATAAGTCACTGTAACCTGAAAAACTGGTGGCTGCAACATTTTCCCTTGTGCCAGATTAATATGATGTAAATAGTTTAGGGAGCTTTGTGTACCTCAAAGTCCTATGGGTACAATTTCAATATAAATAGGTCATTCAACTCAGAAGTAGGTACTGGAGTGGTTTTATCATGGTCTCTTTTTGAAGGTATTTATCCCCCCCCCCGCAAATGAGAAAAATCTCTTCCCTGCCTACGCGGTTTTGGTTGTCAAATATGTTGTGATGAAATTATGCTGGGTATCACCGCCCCTTCCCAGAAAGGAGGACATTTATTGGAAAAGTTTGTGAATCATTTTTTTTTTTAATTAACTTCTCAGCAAGTTAGTAGGTTGTTTCTACAAACAGGGCTAATAGTGTTTGTACCAAAATGAAAGACTTAACTCTGTAGCCCCTGCTAGAACTTGAATTTTTTTCTTTCCAGCAAAGATTAAAAGATTCGGCTTAGACCACCTGGCTTTAAAATATTTTAGTCTCCATTTTTATTGGGCTTCTGTGGGAGGACAGGATTTCTGCAGCTGGAAGAGACAGAATTTGATAGGTACAGTTCACCCCTATCAGTATGTCCACTGTCACTTCAAGATTATCTTGGGAAAGTGTTCCTTCTTGGCAAGGCTTGTAGAGGCTACATGTATCTTGGTCACAAAGGTAGATTCCACATGGTTTTGGGTAGCAAGGAAGGCAAGAAGAGAAATAGATTTAAATTCTCATTATGTCATTTTGTCCTTTCCAGTGACATTGAAATTCTGAATTTCTTTTTATTTTTTAAACAGTTTTTAAAATACATTATTAATATTCATTCTAGAAAACTTGGAAACATTTTAAAAGCCCAAGGACAACAAAAATATTCCACTACGCACAGTTAATATTGGTTATTTATATTGTTATAAAAATGGGATCTTCGACTTATTTTTTTCTACAAGGTAACATAAGCATATTATGTCATCAGATATTTTCCACTTATATTTTAATCTGCATGGAATTCTGTCATGAAGTTATTTAGAAGTATTTAACTGATTTGGGATCGTTTTTATCTTTTTTAGTATATATGTTTATCAAAAATGTTTTCACATTCCCCAGCTCTCCCAGTGTATCTTTTCCAAAAGAAGACATAAATGAATCCTGTTGGCTACTTATGGTAAAAAAGTGGGTTTGTCCTTTAGTTTCTCTGCCAGCCCTGTTTTTGGATCCTCTAGCTCCATAAAAATTTCAGGGCATAGTTAGCCCTTCTTTTAAAAGAAAAAGAAAGACATTATTTTCCATATAACAATCCCAGGTTTCACTGAAGATCAAACTCACTTCACCTTAGTGTACATGCTGTAATATTCTCCCTTCCAGGTCATAGATTTATTTTCTGGTTAGGCAGCCTTGCTTTGAATTTTTGCCACCCTTGCAGAAAACACTATTAGGAGTGTTAAGTCTGACAAACAGGAAGGTCTCAGCACATTGAAGTCTTTCCTGTCAGCTCTCTTGAATCGCCTAATAGTAGCAAAGAAAGCACTTTTGATACTTTGGAATGAAAGATAATAAGTTGCTGTTCTGAAAATAGACATGCATGCACAGTTCCTAATGGTAAGTTAAAGAGAGACCTTGCTTCGTAAGAATTAGTGACATGGTTCTTACAATTTGGAGTAACCTTGTTTTAGATTTTCCCTGGTAGTTCAAGGAGGAAATAATAGCTGGTAATTCATTTTGCCCCAGTATTTTTTAAGCTGAACTTTAAAGAAAAACATACCATAAAAAGACATTGTCATAAGTACTATGCTGTTGCACAAAAATTGATGTTCAGAAAAGTAAAATATATTTATCCGAAGAATGAAAAGGTCAGCTCATAGCCATATCATAAACCCTGATTTAGTGTTCTTAAATATATTCAATTAATTTGTGCCTAATACTGGAAGAACAATTTGAGAAATGTTAGTGGTTCCCCCACTTCAGCCCTACTGTGTCTTGCAGTTTCCCTTGAGGTCAAGGGTGGGATTACTGTACATGTTTCAAACAAGGAATTGTCTGTGTCTGTATTCAACATGAAAATACATGAAAACCCACAAGTTTGGGGGTATGCTTGAAAATTTTGCTTTTTGTGCCACTTTTTTTTATAATGAAGTCCTGTTGGAGTGTTTAAGGGACGACTGTAAGTCTCTCGAGGTAGAGTTCTGCATCCGCACCGCTAGCTTAACTCACTGTTGTTTCCCAGACAGCAATCCTGCCTTCCTGTGCCACTCGCGCCTTCTCCTTTTTATACCTTCAGAAGTTCACTTTGTCGTTGTTGCTTGTTTTTCCTCACCAATTCCATTTATTTCCGATAGCATTCCAGGCACTAATGCCCACCTCTGCCTGTTGCTCTTTTTCTGTAGAGGGAGAACCGGAGATTACAGGAAGCCAGCATGAGGCTGGAGCAAGAGAATGATGACCTTGCCCATGAGCTGGTAACCAGCAAAATTGCTCTGCGGAATGACTTGGATCAGGTAAACCTGTCATTCACTGGGTAGAAATAAAACCATGATGACCTTTCCAAGGACAGGGACCAAGTTAATCTCTCTGCAGCCCTGCTGGGGTTCTGTACTTGACACTTGAGTGAGTTAACTTGGTCAAAGAGGGGGTGGGAGTGGGTGGGAAGGAACTGTTCGTGCTAATTGGAGAGGATGGAAAATGTGAGCCTTTGAGCATGGTCTGGGTCATTTCCAAACAGCTTGTGTGACATACTTTTTGTTTTTAACTTATAAACTTCTCTGGTGTCTCTCCTCTTCATCTGTACTTTTCCTAAACCAAGAACTGCCACCATAATTACCTGAGACTGTCACCAAGAATATACTAGTGGCATCTAAAATTCGTGGGCAAACTTTGTTTCAAAAATAATCCTCCTCTACAATAAATGTGAAGATTTTATATGAAGTATCTACATTAAGATATGTGTATTGTTGGAGTGCCAGGCTAGTGGCTAATAGCCAAGACTGCCTGTGCGTCAATCCTGGCTTCATCACTTACTAACCACGTGTTCCTGGGCAGCTCTTAACCTGCCTGTAGGTTTTTAAAAAGTGTCTACCTCATAGAGACTATGTGAGAATTCAATAAGGTAAAGCTCTACAATCATACTGTTGCTAGGAAGACCTTAAATTGTTTAACTTCCCTCATTCTTGCCAGCATTACTAACAGCTTTAGGACTTCCTGTTTTCTATTGCTAGTGTTTTTAGAGATAATTGGCAATATGAAGGAATCTCATGCGGATTTAAAAGTATCACTCTATTTTTCTCACTTTTACAATATGAATAGTCTCATCAGATGGTGCAGGGTCAGAAAAATTGAGACAGTCTAAGTAGTTGAGTAAGTAAAAAAAAAAAAAAGGTTTTGCCTTCTCTATGAATAGACAATATTTAAAATATAAATCCATTAATAATATCAATCTAATATGTTTAAAAGTGAAGGATGACTAAAAGTGGCAGTGCCACAGGTTTTTTCCATATGGACAGCTAATTTTGCACTTCAGCAGCTTTAACCACAGTAAAATAGGAGATAAGACCACTGTTAAGGAAAACAGTGCTCAAGCCTGTAAGGAGTCCTCTAAGGGGAGCTTGAAAGCAAAACAAAAGCGGATGCTCTGGACACAGGATGATGAAAGTAGAAAAAGCAGCCTCGGGGAGGGGTGACTTTCAACCACACCCCGCTTCAGCCAGCCTGTGTGGAAGTTGTTAGAAGTGATATGAAAAATGTGTGCCCACAAGTCAGAAGCCAGAGGGGTCCCCATGCCTTCTGGCCACACCCAGCCTGACTTCAGCTGTTATATTTTTGTATTAAAGAGACTATAGTGATAAATGCTTGATTCTGCCTTAGCTTTCCAGACAGACTTGACTCATGCCTGACTTTGCCATTTTGGATTTTTTATCCATTAATAATTTTCTTAAAATGGCCAACTAAGAAAAAAAAGCCTCACAGCACTGCGCTCAGCCTGCTGCACCACCAGGGAGGCCCCCTGTCATCACTCTTCCCCTCTCTTTGAAGCTTCTTATCACTCGGTGAAAAATTAAATGGGGATTTTATGCATCTCTCCTCCTACCATCTGATTTTGTATTCTCTGCCCAGTGGGATCTATTTGCCTATTTAAACACAGTCCCTGCTGGCTCAGGTACCTGTCCCTCCAGTCATCTAGAAAGGGCATTGGCCTCGAAGTATTGACTTTGCCCAGTTTTGCCAGTATGTTCCATTCACAGTTTATCAATTCAGATCTCTTAATTAAATATAGAAAAACTTTGGCAAACATTAAACAAACCTGAAAGCAAACAAACACTTATTTGGTATTAAAGAAGTTTTTCTTTACCCTAGTGATTCTTGTGCTGGCTTCAGGCTTCCTGGGCACCAAAGGCTTGAACTTTTTCTCTCTGACAGAGCCTTTTCTAGTGACAACTTACGCTCCCTCAAGCTCCTTTAACTAAGGACTTCCCAATGATTAGAAATGAAAGAGGTACATCTCCACTTCCTTTTCTGTGGCTACCTGCCCTCATGCTCTTCCTGTCCTTTCATGTTCCCAAGAAATGAAAAAAAGAGACAGTTAGTCCTCCCACTAAAGACCTTGTCTAGCTCCCGTCTGTCCGTGACAAGTTCTGTGTTAGGCCAGAAGCTTATATAATAAGTGGGAAATTCTTTTGTTTTGTCTTATTTTAATTGGCTTGGTCTTTGAGAAATCTTTTCTGAAAGAGCCTTATGCCTGATGTAAGAGATGAGCCTTTTGATGAATTTACTGGATGATTATGCTCGAATTACTTATTTCATTCAGTGCATTCTTCTCATTTATATCTCAGAGACGCTGTAGAGAGCATTTAGAAGTTTCAATATCAATACTGCATTCTGAGCTGTTGGCAAGTGATTAAATGATTTAAAATGCCAATGGTGCACTCAGTCTTGCAATCAAATTATGGTGAAGTTTTTATTATTTGGGCTTAGAGAATTTGAGTATCTAATAGTTTAATATTGCATTTCTGGAGATTCATTTAACATTAAAGATGATTTCTACTCAAGTGAGGTGTAGAGGTTGGCTGTACAATAATCCAGGGAGAATCAAGTTACTTCAGATCTGGTCCTTTTCTGATGAACAGGAGAATCTATTGCTCCTACTTCACTATTTAATGTATAGGAGAAATTTTGCGTGAAACTTTCTGGAAAACTCTAGGACTGCTTCCCTGTGGACCCTCAGTGCCAGATGTGATTATAACAAAAGTAGAATGAGGTTGCCTTACCTTCATCTAGTGAGGAATGTGTATAAATAATAAACCTTCTCGTCTTAAATATTTAGGTGTTAATTAAAAATTTTCTCAGAGAAGTGTTTCTATCTTTCCTTATTGGCATTTTCCAAACTAGATATGCTGTATTCATGAAGCTTGTTACTGAATGTCGGCATAGTATTAACTCTTTGGAAGTTGACACAGGGCTAAAATTTAGGGTGTATATATCTTCAAGAAACCACACTTAGGAAACAGTTATTTTAATAGGTCAGGATGTCTCTTATAAACATACCATGGAAATTACTAGGGGTACTGTAAGAGGCTGTTCAATTGCAGTCTTCCTTATTAGCAGGGCTGTCGCTCAGATATTCTGGGGATCACTTGGTCCAATGGGCTTCAGTTACACGAGACAGATTTGGTCAGATTTTTAAGAACATTGACGTGATTGGTGTTCATGCTTTTGTGCTTCTTCAGGAGGGTCTCCCTACTTTTGAGCAACTCTAGTCTTGTGGCTTACAGCTCTAGAATTTGCAGTTTTGAGTTTTCATAACCTACATCAGAGACCTTACCCACCTCTAATTTTATGTTCTTTTGTTCTGTCCACGCTCCCCCCAGTCTAATGTATCAGAACAAATTTTAGAGTCTTTAAAAGGGACTTTTTTCACCTTAACTATCCAGCAATTCCGAACAATCTGAGAGCATACAGCAATAACCCCTGAGATCTGGGACATCAGGAACCAACGACAGTGAGAGCAGGGAAGCTGGAAAGTCATTTCCCTGCCAGCACCCAGCAGACTGTGCTGGCTGGGCCATCTGGACATGCGAGAGATATGGTGATACACAGACAGAAGGCCACCTGGCCAGTTTGCATGATTGCTTGGATAATGTTTTGCTGCTGTCAGCCGAGGATAGCTTCTTCAAATAACTGCCTCTCCCCTGCATCTGCTTTTTTCTCTGCTGAACTCATCCTATGGCCCTCTGCCACCCCCACACAATGTGATTTGCAGCAACTTGAAGAACCGTGTCCATTCATTCACCAAATACTCATGGAGCACCTACTCTACCTGGTACTGTGCTTGGTGCTGGGGACACAGAGTGATCAGCAAAGCAGACCTGATTCCTGCCTCCTAAAGCCTGAAGCCTAGTGGCAAGCCACATAAATCACACATGTAATTTGTCATGACTGATTGTACTAAGTGCTTTCAAGGGAGAGATGAGAGATTTAAACAGAGGAACTAATTGAGATGGGGGTGAGTAAGGAAGGACTCAGGACACACTTCACTGCAAATGTGAACTTGAAGCTGAGATGTCAAGGTTTGATGTTAAGAACCTTGGAGTATAAAACAGACATGTTTTAACAAAGTTAAATATACACTCTATAGTTAATTTTGACTCTGTTTGCAAATTAAGACCAGAGTACTCTCTGTCAGCAATTCTTGCTCCTTTCTGTCTGGATTCCTTCAGTTTCCTCATGGCCATCTCTGCCATGGGTTTTGGTCTTAATTTCCCCTTACTATCCCCATGGTCCTGCATGAGTAATCTTATGGGCTGGTTTACCTCAGCAGATCTTAGAATTTCTCACCTAACTATAGTCTGTGGCTCAGTCTGTGTACTGGTCCTCTATAAATCCATGCCTTGCACCACCAATTAGAAGCTTCTTATAAGGCTCCACCCCTTCATCCCATCCATCTACACAGTCTCTGGGGTTTCTATTGGGACATCTGGGAATGTAAATGAAGCATTTAGAAAGACTCTGGACTCTGATGCCATTCAGATCATGTCTTTGACAGTAGATCAGTACCCCAGTCAGGTTATTTGATCTTTCTAAACTGTGCTGTTGTCATTGGTAAAATAACTGCCATTGTGAGAATTACACATAACGTGTTACATGGTCCTGGTTCTTAATTGGCACTCAGTGAAAGCAGCTACCCCCAGGCTGAGGGAAAAGGGAAAAGAATAGATCATGGTCATGTTGAAACAATGATAACAAGAGATTAGGTTTGGAGACAGTATAAACACACTTTCTTTACCTTCTTTGTAATTGTGACACTATGGTTTGCAGGCAGAAGACAAGGCAGATGTGTTGAATAAGGAGCTCCTCTTGACCAAACAGAGGCTGGTGGAAACTGAGGAAGAGAAGAGGAAGCAAGAGGAAGAGACTGCCCAGGTAAAGGGCCAAGTGGGCTCCCCCAGTGTGTTGGTATATGGAGTTAATACTCCAGCAAGAAGTAGAATTAAATCTATTCTAAATCAAGGGTGATGTTGAAATAATAAATATAAGTAGGATTGAGTCTCAACATTTGTTTTTTTTAAGATTTATATATTTATATAAGCACTTGGGTACAGGACAGAGGCACGGGAGGGTGAGAGGATCCACCAGAGGCAGAGCAGGGAGCAGAACAGGCAGAAGGACTGAAATACACTGCTAAGGGGAGCAGTGGGCGCTACAGGAGAGGTCTGCCATGCCATGTGGGAATCTCCCTGGCCGCCATGCCATGTGGGAGTCTCCCTGGCCGGCCGGGAATTGAACTGGCAATGCAGAGTCTGTGGACAGTCTCACAGTGCTGCACTCAACCCGCTGCGCCACCGGGGAGGCCCTCAACATTTCTTCTGAAGGGTGTTAGAAGAGGAGGCAGCATTCCTATCCTTGAACAGCTTTCAGGAATTTGCCGTTACTGAGTTGTCTAGCAAGGGTGTTAAGTTTTCTCTAAGTTTAGTAACTTGGAATATGATTCATGAGCTTTTACAAATCTGCAAATTTCATCTCATATCTCCAAGATAATTGACTCCTTATAGTTTCTGAGGTCATTAAGCTGCAAGCCTAAGAGATCTCTTCTGGGAGTTGCCTCAGTCAGTCATACTCCGTTTTCCTGATTTGTGTCTTTGAAGGAGGAGCACCAGTTTTTCTGACAGAGTTCTCAAATCTTATTCCCTGGGGAAATAAAAGAAACCCTTTGGGAACCAGCCTTGAATTTACGACCAGCTAATCAGCTGGAAGACACCACCATTGCAAAGGGGTGCCAGATACATGATGGAGAGGCCTCTCCGCTCAAGGAGTTGAAGCTTCCAGCTTCCCTAAGGAAGATCAGGCGGTTTCACCAGTGTTCTCCATCTCTGTCAGTCCCAGCCAGACATGATTAACTCATTTATTTTAATGAGTTTCATTCTGAGACATCAATAATACTAAATATAAATCAGAACACAAAGCATTTCAGAGACCTATATCCAAGCAACCAGGAAAAGTTCCAGTAAAGTTACTAATGAAAGGATGTGTCATTTAGCACCTGCCAGGACTTACAAAAAAATATTCCATAATTTTTTAATTGGAAAATGATAAAATGATTCTTGGCATTTACTATTAAGAATTATTATTTTTTCCTTTTTTAACATATATTCAGTTTCTCAGGGGCTGATTGATTACCCTGTTTGATCTAGGTCTGTCAATGGGTTTTGATTTTTTTCTTTACCTCTTGCCTTATTTTAGCCACTTCAGTACTTTAGGGTAAAGAATGAAGCTATTATCTCCACATGTGTATGTTTATATCCCAGTTGTAATCATTAATGCATTCTGTTAGGAATTATTTTCTTCATTTGTCAGATGAGGAAACTGTGGCTTACAGAAATTAAATCACTAGGTCTGTTCTGAAGTCAGCAGGACCTTCTCACAGGAGGGGAGAAGGCTGGGGTGAATGTTCTTAAATTACATGAGAGAGAGAATAGAGACAGATGTAAACAACTACGTTTGAATCAGTATAACCTACCAATTGTTTATGAAGAAAATAAGAAGTCTTCTAATAATAAGTCCAGTTTTAAATTGTGATAATTTGTGAATTTGCAAGTAGAGTATACCTTATTCATAATTTGGGATGTTGCAATGCAATTTTCATTTATTTATTCTGATCATTGACTTAAAAATTAACCAAAGTTGTTTTTACATCATGGAAGAATTGAAATCTTTTCTTTTTTTATCGGGTGGCACCTGAGCTTTTTTTATTGCCATAACTTTCCCCATACCTAAACTCTAGAACTGAGGGGCTACAGAAATAACTGGTTTTAAGTTTAGCATTCACAGTTTAATAATCCTGTGACTGTAGATCCTTCCAAAGTGACTGTTTCTTTGGTCCTTGAATCTCCTAATCTCAAGAGCTCTTATTTTTTTCCATCTTTTTCTGACCCCAGTCCCCCAAGCCTCCAGAGAGCAAACAGCAGTGATAATAGAGGACAATGAATAGGAAAGCCTGAAATGTTTTTCCTTAATTTATAATACAGGATTAAAAGTGCATGTGTTGTTGCTTCAATGGTTTTAGACTCTCATAAAGAATGAAGATAAACTTCCAAATGGCCACCTGTTTGCAATATATATGTAAATTAGGTAGTAAGCATCAGTGGTCTTCTAATAGGGTTGCTCATATGTTTTATATATTGCAGGAAAGAAAGGAAGGTTTTTGTAACTCTGGAGATGATTAGGTGTTTCAAATGATCAAAATGCAGCTTCTGTGAGGAAAATGTGTAGTTTTAACATTGTCATTGATTATGAATCAAGCAAATTTGAATATAGATGCTTGTGGAAATTTATTAAGATTAAAATTTAGTTTCTCATTCTCACCCTTCCTAGCTAAAAGAAGTATTCAGGAAACAGCTAGAGAAGGCAGAATATGAAATAAAGAAGACGACAGCTATCATTGCTGAGTATAAACAGGTAATGTGCCACTGAGGGTTTTGTTCTTAGAGCTTCCGGAACAGTGACTGCACTGCATTCATTAAATTTGGTAGCTTCCTTTCTCCTCTGAAATAGATAGCTGTTGGACATGCTTGCTGATAACACTGGAGGTTTAATTGAGCAAAACAATCTGTTGTTATTTATACTGTTTGGTAGATTTAGAGGAACAGTAAACTATACCACCATTGGGAACCTGTTTCTGCCCTACTCGGAAGCTAATTTTCAGCCTATCACACTAAAAACATTTGCCTCTCTGCCAAGGACTGAGGTTTCGTGATTGTATTAAATGCCAATAGCTAATGTGTCCTTTGCTGTCACAGCCCAGTATGTGGGATCCCTTTTCCCACAGGGCTCTGCGGCCTGACCCAACGCTCACAGGGAATCTGGTGTGAGCCTGAAAATGATCCTTTAAGTGAGAGTTTGCTCTCGTAGAGGATGTCTGGCCCCATCACCAGGATGGTCCCAGAAAGCCCTTCTCCTGTCTCCAGTAGTTCCTGTGGTTTCTAGAGACCCCAAATGGACTGGTTAAGTTTCAGGTTTCCAGAATTAATCAAGGTACACATACCCAAGCATTTCCCTGGGGTTTTGTGCCTCATAGTGGAAGACTGATGTTGACTTTTTTTTTTTAATGTATTTTTCTACTTATAAATGAAAGTGATGTTCCTTATGGAAAACTATAAAGTGCAGAAAGAAAGAAACCTCTCTTAATCTTGCCATATTGAAAGAATCACTGTCATACACTAGTATGCATTGTTGCTGTATAAATAAGAATGTCAATTTTGGACAATTTTCTTATTCATGTCATTTTTGGAACTTGTTCATTGTGTAATTTATGAACATCTTCCCATAAGGATCCCTCCCTTTCATGGAAGATTGCTTAGAAATAAGCCTTCAAAGTTGTCTTACTATTTTTATAATTACTGTTTTTTTTTAATGTCTACTATAGGTGAGACTTGATTCTTTGGTTGGATAGTGATGAATTAATGAAATTTCTCTCCTTTAGAAGCTGATCTTGTAACAAATGCTATAAATAAGAGGAAAGGGAACTTATATGGGAAATGAGAAAGGGAAATGAGCTGTGTTTCAAAGACCACATGGGATTTGGGCATATGAGATAAGGAGAGGATGGAAATGGTGGAAGAGAAACAGCATGTGCAAAGGCACAGAGGAAGATTCGTGGACAGAAATCATTTTGTTTGGCAAGAGTTTCAAGTTCAGAAGATAAGCAAAGATGAGTCAGGCCTAGTTCGGGTAAGGTCATCAGGGATAGAATAAGGAGTTTAGATTTTATTCTGTAAGCAGTAGGAATATTTGAGCAGGAAAGTAGCATGTATGATCAGGGACGTATTGTCAGCACTTGTACCAGTGAGAAAGGTGGAGCTACATAGAGATATGCACATGCCAAGATGCAAAGCAATCAGAGGCTAACAGAAGTGTCCAGATGAGAAAAAATAGTTCTTGAACTAAAATAAGTATTAATGAAAATAGAGAAGAGGATAGTCATTTTGTTTGTTTGTTTGTTTGTTTGTTTGTTTTTGCTAGACATTGAAATTGATCCTGAGATTTTGAATTTAGGCAACTAGGAGAAGTGTGTTAGATATTAACCACACGAGGAACAGAGGAACATTGAAGACCCTGTGCTATGGAATTTGCCACTGCTACAAATGCATTTTTTCATCACCATAGGCCACAGGTGGCTATGATTCAAAATAGTAATGCTTGGGACTATTCTGAAATATTATCTAGCAGCCACTTCAAGTAATGTAAAAGGCAACAGACCCATCTGTTTGAAAATAATTAGGACATAAAATACAATCTAAATGCAAACTATACTTGGAATTGGCTATTACCGGCTCTGTTTCAGAATTTTTTGGTTTATTTAGAAGGGTATATGTTTTGCCAAAATTAGGAAAATTGCTTTTGAACATCAGCTAATCCAGTCCTGTTAATTGCTTCCAGACTTGGATCTGGAAAAATTGGACATTAAACTCAACAAGCAGACCCTAGTCTATAGAACTGAGTAGGCAAGGATGTTTTAAATGTCTGTTTTGATAATAAAGCTAGACATTCTATGTTTTTGTTCCAAATTGTGCTTTATAATTTGATATCTACTTTCATTTTTCAAAAATGAAAGATTCTTATATTGCTCATTGAATTTGAACTTCCAGTATTTTTTAAAATAATATTTTCTCGTTTTGAAGGCACTTATTTCTACCTGTCCTTAGTATTTGTTTGCCTTATTTCAGAATCAGTAATAATGAAACTTCTTTAATGAGCACTTACTATATCGTCCAGGTACTATACAAAACCCTTAACATACTTTGTACTTTTAAGTCAAGAGAATGCTGACATTTGGAAAGATTTGTGAATTTGCTCAAGGACACAATACCAGAGAACAGATGAGCTGGACTGGTAGGCTTTCCATTTGAGGCTTTTGCCAAACCACTTAATAAGAGGCTTAGTCTTCCAACTACATGGAAAGTGGTGTGGAGGTTCCTCAAACTGCTAAAAATGGAGCTTCCATATGATCCAGCAATTCCACTCCTAGGTATCTACCCAAAGGACACAAAAACATTAATTCAGAAGGACATCTGCACCCCTATGTTTATTGCAGCACTATTTACAATAGGTAAGCTATGGAAACAATCCAGATGCCCCAAAATGGATGACTGGATCAAGAACATGTGGTGTATATACACAGTGGAATATTACTCAGCAATCAAAAAAGATAGACTCATGCCATTCACAGCAACATGGATGGAAGTGGAAGGGATCATGGCTAGTGAAACAAGCCAGAAAGAAAAAGAAAAATAGCATATGGTCTCACTTATAGAAGGAATGTAGATGATCCAAATAGGGGATCAGGGGAAAAAAGCAATTATAATAAAGTAAAAATCAAAATCAACAGGCAACTCTAAATCAGAGACATTCTGCAGGGCGGGGGAAAGAGGAATAGGATCAAAATAGGGGTGGGAAGAGCACAAGGGACTACAGTGATGGTACACAGGTGAATTGGTGGTGGGAATTTCACAGAAATTATACCCAAGATAAGAAAGCATACATTGTACAAAAATAAAGAATAATGTAAAAATATGTATAAACAAATTAATTTTAAAAAAGAGTTTACTCTTTATTATTTTCTGCTCATTTTGACTTTATTTTGTACACATTGCCACTTCTTAAGGAAACTTTAGTCATGGAAAACAGAGGCTGGTTCTGTCACTATGGATAGAAGAAGTTTCTGGTTCAGAATATTCCCTGCACAGTGTAAGCTACTCAGTAAAGATTCTAGAGCTCGATTCCAAGGTGAGGACAGGAAGTCACTGAAGCTAGTCACAAAGGCTACTGACAGAAAGAAGTCAAATCTACCCCAGGTGCTCCTCTGCTAACTAAATTGAGATGTGCTTTGCACTGAGGCCCTAGCGTGCTCTCTGCTATTTGTTGCAGAAGTAACTGGCAGCGCTGCTCATTTGTCAAATTGCTTCTAGCATCAGAGATGCTTGAGTCATATGTGAGCTGATAAACAATTATGTGCACATGTTGCAAGCATTGGTCTATTTTCTAATAAAGAACTCTTTTCCCCCCGTAGATCTGTTCCCAGTTAAGTACCAGACTGGAGAAACAGCAAGCAGCCAGCAAGGAGGAGCTGGAAGTGGTAAAGGTGAGAAAGAGTGAAAAAGTCCTGTGATATCAGTCCTTCCAGATCTCAGTCTTGAGTGAATACCTGTTGATAGGAAGATCCCAACACAGGAAAGACAACTTGTACACATCACACATACACTTTGCTTGAAAGGATTTGAGAACTGTGAACAGGATCTCTCTTCTGATTGGGGCGTGGTTCTCTTCCCTGCCAGCTGAAAGGTTATACTCCCTTGGGTGTTCTGGGCTGTCAGATGCAGGGGGTAGGATTTAGCATTGTCACAGGAGGTCCCTGATCTTATCTCCATGGTAGAAATCTTCAAACCCTTTATGAGTCCGCATCCCAGATGATTTGCTCAAACTGATGTGACTTCAGTTTGTGACCCAGTCAGATCCCCTCCCACCCACATTGCTCTCTTGAACAGGAAACACCATGGGCAGTATAGAACCTAGCTGGAAAGCATGTGTTGGGTAACTGATTTCTTCCACTAATTTTTTAGAGGTTGGTTTTTAAAGAAAACCTGTCACATTTATTTTTGTGAGGCCCCCTCGTGGTAAAACTGCATAGTTGATTATCCATTTGAAAAGCTTTTCTACTGTAGAAATAATAGTAACTGAGGAGGGAGGGAGAAGCACAGGGGACTGAGGTGATGGTGCACGGGTGCATTGGTGAAGGAAACTCTATGGGGACTACACCCGAGCGGGTGGGGAAAGCAAATATTGTTTAAAAATGAACAATTATGTAAAAAAGAAAAAAATTAATATAAAAAATAATAGTAAACCAAATGCACTGGTTTTCTTAAGAAGCAATGTTGGCACAGTCAACTCTGTGACCAGTGTCACAGATACATGACATAATTGTATTTGAATATACTCAAGTTTAATACTAGTAAATAAATGCATTCTAGTCACTTAAGCATATAACAACAACTTAAATAGGTTATTTAACTTAAGCTTCATTTTATATTCTGTAAAATAGATGTAACTTTGACTGCCTCATCATGTCATTTTGAGTATTCAATAAGATAATGTATCTAAAGTGCTTGACTTAGTACTTGGCACACAAGGATGTTCAATAAATATATATTTTAATGAGTTATAACCTGCAAGTATGAGGCATATAAACTGAAAATGAGCCTTATTATGACTTTGAATTCCAAAAGTATTTTTATTTCATGTTACAAAACATCAGTGTATTATTAGTAAGTATAGAATTATAGTGACTATAGAGTTGGTGGTTTCCTTACCCACACCTGCTAAAATTTTGGGTTCCTGTCTTCCCTTTCTGGTCTACCTTTGTCCCTCTTCTTCCTTATCCTGTATCATTCTCTGTACATTGTAGGTATACTGACAAAATCTCAGTTGATCAAGTGTCCTGGCATAAAAGTGTGAACTATCCTGAACTAAATCTTTGTGGAAATAAAAATGAAAGGAGGGTTTATATTGACCACTCAGTAAAGGACTCATTGAGCATCTACTATATGCATAACTGTTAGACTTCTGTCTTTTACTTAAATTATCCATGACAAAGAACTTAGAATTTTCCTGCAGAAGCAAGGTATATCATACATTTGCATGTGAGACGTTTAGACAATAATTCAAGAGCATATAACCAAGTGCTGAGCTGGAAGACACTGACAAATAATAGAGAAAAAAATTGTAAGAATCAAAGATGACATTATGGAAGAGGTGGTACTAAAGTAGGTAGGTAGAATTCAGTTAAGAGGATTAAGGACATTCTGAGAAAAGAGAGTTAGTGAAGATCCAGGAACAGGAATGAGCATTTCGCTGTCTCATTGGGGAAACTGATATGACCAGAATGTAAAGAATAGAGGAGTATACTGAATAAGTAAGCAGATTACCTCATGAAAGACTGATATTTAGGAAGAGGAATTTAAACTTGTTTTAAGTGGAATTAAGAATAGCAGCTATTAAACACTTGCTGTGTGCACTGTTCATAGGTCTTACATGTATTATCTACTAAACCCTCACAGCAACTTGAGAAACTATTATGTCTTCATATTATTATGTCTTCATATTATTCATTTGTTGATGATGACTACTAAATACAGGCACTGACTTTACTTAAGGTAACACACCTGATGAGAAGGAGTTCTGGGATTTGAATCCAGAGAGTCAGACTCTAACGTGAATACCCTTAGCAATTACACCGTGCTTCCTCCTCCAGTGCTACTTCCTCTACATCTCTTGTTTGGTTACATGCAGTAGGTTCTGATTTTGCCACCATCCTGTAACAACCTTACTCTACCAACATACCCCCTCCAGTTAATTCTTTGCACTTAGAATCAGAATGAGCATAACCAAAGATAAATTTGACTTTATGTGTATCATTTTAAAATTAAATTGGCCACACGCAGGAACCCCCAAACAGCATCGACTTAAACACACAGATGTTGATTATTTCATGTCAAAGAAGTCTGGGACAAGAAAGGTCCTTGGTTTCATAATGATATAAGCTTATCAGGTATTCGTGACCCCCATTGTCAGCTTCCATCCTCCACGCCACCTAAAAGTCAGATCTATCAACTAGAGTCTCCACTATCCACTATCTACATCCCATGGTAGACTTTAAGACCAGAAGTAAATACAAGGGCCTCCATCCAAATGGGTGAGTTCCAAGTAGCTTCTCAGAACTTTCATGCCACACTTACACACAAGAACTTAATTTCATGCCAGCATCTAGTTTTAAAGAAGTTTGGGAAAAGGCTCCTTTTTAACTGGGCATATTGCCAGCCCGAATAGTATCAGGGTTCTGTTGCTAAGGAAGGGACATGTGGATGTAGGTGGGAATCTTCAGTCTCTAACATACCTTAGTTTTTGGCATGTCTTCCTGACTGCAGGTTCACTAGCTCCTGGCTCTGTCTCCAGTCTGCAGCACAAGGTTTGATGAAGTGAACAAATGAGTTTTCTATGGTATAAAGTCAGGATTTTGTAACATATTTAAGGGCCTTTACAACATGGCCATGGTAACTCTTCTCACTTCATCCTTTCACTATCACATCACTTTTCGGTCCTTGAGCCATCTCAGAAGCCCTGCAGTTCTCTGAAGGCACAGAGTCTCTGCTGAAATATCCCCCTCTCTCTTGTGAAATTAATCTATTCCTTCATATGGGTCAACCAATAACACTGCTTACCTAGCATGATAAACTTTGAGTCATTTAAGATAAGACTCAAATAAAAACCCACCACTTTATTTTTCATTTTATTTTTGTAAAGTTCAACTCATAAGGCAAATAAATGCCTTGTGGACATTTTTAAAAAATAAAATTTGTAATCCTCTTAAGTTTCGGGAGTACCACTTCATACCTTGAGGTGTGTCTATACCTCACCACAGCCACTAGCTAAGTTCTAGCACCACTCACTCTGTTGAAATGACCTTGCCTACCCATTTCTTCCATCCCTCTTCCCCTTTCCCTCTGATAACAGCCTTACTTTTCACAGCATCTAAGTTGTTGTGTTAGTTCATTTGTGAAAGCTACTTTTTAAAAAAATTATTTTATTTATATTTTATTTTTATACAAGAACTGGGGTACAGGCCAGAGGCATGGGAGGGTGAGAGGATTCACCAGAGACAGAGTGGGGAGCAGAACAGGCAGACGGACCGAAGACACTGCTGAGGGGAGAAGCAGACGAGGCAGGAGAGGTCTGCTGTGCCACGTGGGTATCTCCCTGGCTGACCGGGAATCAAACCCGCACTGCAGAGGCTGCAGACAGCTTCACAGTGCTGCGCTCAACTCGCTGAGCCACCGGGAAGGCCCCGAAAGCCACTTCTTAACATTTTAATTAGTCACCAACTATGTAGTCACCAACTATATAATATTGTGCCAATAATATCCCAACTCTTCTTACAGCCTCTTAAGAGAGTTTCAGGATATCATTTAATTGCAAATATTAATCAGGCAGGAATCTGAAGAGTGAATTAGGGATGAGATAAATATGAAACCAGGGCCTCCCTGCTAGCCTAGGGGTTAACTCTTAGCTCTATCCTATCACCACTACAGTCTGAGTTTGATCCCTGGCCAGGGAGCTAACCCATATATGGTGCAGCAGACCCCTCATGTCTCGCTGCTGCTCCCCTTAACAGTGTATTTCATTAGATCTACCTGTTCTGCTTCCCCACTCTGTCTCTGGTGAATCCTCCCACCCCTTCACCACACCTCTGGCCTACACCCCCAGTTCTTCTATGCAAAAATAAATAAAATTTTTAAAAAAACCTCCATACGGTTTAAAAAAATTAAAAAATGAAACGAATGGGAACTGAGAAGGTGACTTAGGGATTCAGACTTAGCATAGAGAGAGCTTGGCTGTGTCATAGGAAGACTTTAATGACCATCTGAATGTAAGATGAAGGAGAAAGTAGTGAAAAAATGACACCAAACTCTTAAGGCCTAAATGATGGAGATGAGCTCTATGACACAGAAGGGCAGCTATGGATACACTGAGCTGCTTATAACAGAATATCAAAATAAAAATATCCTATAGTATCTTCTACCTCTCAACTATCTTTAGAGTTAATTGTAAGAAGACAGTAACACTGTTGTCTTGAAAAGAGTTGCTGTTGTTCAGTGCTGGATGCTTAAAACACAAGCCAGGCATAAGACAGCATTACCTTATTACTTTGAACAATAATGATCATCTTTGCTTAAACCTGAACCAGAAAGGACTTATCTTTACTTGTTGCAAGGGTAGATATAGGTTGTCACAATGACCTTCCTCAGTCTACCTTAGGTAAGTTTCATAAATCCCAAGTGTCTTCATTTCTGAAATGAGGGCAAGGCCAATGCCCAGTCCCACAGAAGCTCCTGGATGTGGAGCATATAATGTGAAGGTTGGCATCTCGTAGAAACCATGGTGGCACAAAAGTTCTTGACTAGACTTCAAAGCCATACTAGAGTACTTTCTATCCCCATGGTCTCTCTAGAGATACTTTAAGAGAAAGGAGGACCTGTCTTGGGCTTTGTGCTGACTGTAACCATTTTGGTTGCAGCATAAGAAAAATAATAACCTTCAGAAATGGCCCTGCCTCAGCTGAGAGTAAGCCACACCTAAGCACATATCACATTGCTTCAGGAAGTGCCTGGTGCTCTGAAACACCATTTGATGTTGGTTCTCTCTTTTGGCTATTTTTCAGGGTAAAATGATGGCGTGTAAACACTGCAGTGACATCTTCAGCAAAGAAGGCACTGTGAAACCAGCAGCCATAAGCAGAGAGGACCAGGGAATTGAATCAGATGATGAGAAGGACTCACTAAAGAAGCAGCTGAGGGAGATGGAGCTGGAATTGGCACAAACCAAACTGCAGCTGGTGGAGGCCAAGTGTAAAATCCAGGTAGGTGATTTGATAAAAAAAAAAAAATCACTAAGGGAAAAAAAGCAGGTGGTGGTCCAGGCTATTCTAGTACTTCGAATACAGCTATCTAGCTCAGAAGCCTAAGACGTTACTGTGGGACCTCCTTGTGGCCTAGGAGTTGAATGAATCTCAGCGCTATCATTCCCTGGCCAGGGAGCTAACCCACACCGCACAGCAGACCTCTCCTGCCTCACCCGCTGCTGCCCTTAGTATATTTCAGTAAATCTGCCTGTTCTGCCCACCACTCTGTCTCCAGTGAATCCTTTTAACCCCCAACACTTCTGGCCTATACCCCAGTTCTCCTACACACACAAAAATAAATAAATAAAAAAGATGTTACTGTGTAGGATGAATATATTTTCTGTCCTGCCATGCACATTCACATCTTATATCATTATTCTTAAACACTGATATAAACATCGTTTTCAGTGAAATTTAATAATTAAGCTTCTCTCTTATGAGAACTTACCTGATCCTGATGTTTTTTTTTTCCTCACTGAACTCAGGTACTTTGGCAGTGAAAGGCTGGATCCCCTGAGTGATTCCCCTTGGCAGTTAGCTTTGGCAGATGCCCATTCTTTCTTTGGAGTTTGTTTTCATCTTCTCCTGACCTTGCATAGCCCTTCCCCCATAATTTCTTTCCATATTGGAGGAAAATAATCCTCGCTACTGAGAGACTAGTCCCCATCTCCCTTTTACCAGGGGTCCTTACAAACCACTGCCATATCCTCCCCGGCACCACCAGTCACCCACCGGTTGTCCTTTTCTCTACTGCTCTGGACCTTATGCCATCTCAGGCAAAGCCCATGTCTTTGAAACCAAAACCTAGCTTATGCTAGTCTTAAAGGCCAGTCTTTTCTTATGTTTGTGTTTATTTGTGATTTTATTTTATTTTTAAAGATGTATTTATTTATGCATACAGAAACTGGGGTACAGGCCAGAGGTGTGGTGGATGAGAGGGTTCACCAGAGACAAAATGGGGAGCAGAGGAGACAGATTTTCTGAAATAAACTGCTGAGGGGAGCAGCGGGTGAGACAGGAGAGGTATGCCACACCATGTGGGTAGCTCCCTGGCTGGAGATCGAACTCCTGCTGCAGAGGCTGTGGATAGCTTCACAGTGCTGTGCTTAATCCCTTGGACCACCAGAGAGGCCCCTTATTTGTGATTTTAGATATGTTATCTCAGGTTGTAACCTAAACTAAATTTGGAACTAGATTGCATGGGGCAGGGATGGGGGAGGGAGGTAGGGAGGTAAAATGAAGTTTAATTATACTATTCAGAGAAAGCATATGGTCTAGTTTTTAAAGGTAGGTAACTCACTTATCTCCACTTTTTTCTTGCTTTAATAGCCAATTAAAATTCTTCCCGGTTTTGTGAGAGAAAAACTATAGCTACATAAACCTGGGGATTCCAGAAAACTGTATTCTAACTTTTTTGGCAGAGAGAAAACATTTATATAACTCAGATGATTTTCTTTAATTAGGAACTTGAACATCAGCGAGGAGCCCTTATGAATGAAATCCAAGCTGCAAAAAACTCTTGGTTTAGCAAAACCCTGAACTCTATCAAAACGGCCACGGGCACTCAGCCACTGCAGCCGCCACAGGCCACCCAGCCACCCAAGGAGAGCACATAGTTCCAGCCTCTCTTGAGCACCAGAGCACAACGATTAAAGCGACAGAAACCTGGGGGGATTCTCCCTGGTATTCCTTTGAAGAAAAAAAGTAAAAGAGGCCACAAAGCAAGCCAGAATCTTTCAGTAGCTCTCACTCTTTCTCATAGGATACTTCTCAAAGGGATGGTATCTCAGCTGACCTGATTTATGTTGATACCTATTTTTGGCTTGCCCATGGAAGACCATGTTCAGATCCATCATAGTATTGCACATTATTTTGTATGCCTGACGTTCAGTTGGAAATAAGTAATTCAGAACCTAATGCTTTTTATTTAGAATTGTGCATAATTATTTTTATCTTAAGAATGGAGATGTCTTTTATTCCAAGGTTGAAACAACTGGAAGCTATTTGTCACAGCAGACACACAAGATAAAAAAAAAACAAAACTGGTATCTAAACTGCTTAACTTTGCAGAAATCATTCAAATAAAGCACACTGTGGCAGCTGGTCACAATCACTGTCAGGTTTCCTCCTGAAAGGGAGTCTCTGGATAATAAATATCCTGTTCAAAGGAAAGAACAGACTTAGGGGTTGACCAGTTTGCAGAGAAAATTAGTTTATTTTCATTTTCTCTTGGGGGCATCTGGAAATGAAGTGCCAAGAGCCATGGAAGAGGATGGGGTATCGAAAACACATACTAGACAAAGGAACAGGGACCTTGGTGAACAGAATAAAAACCATCGTTTTGGCCCCGGCATTCCAAAAGGGACTGTTAAGAATTCCACATGGAATTCCAAGCTCCTAAATATGCCTAAGTGGTTTCCTGCACATGTAAAGTCAGAAGAGGATCTTGTGAGTGGCAGCCTTATGGAACCTTTACCAGGGGAGCCGAGAATGGGCCCAGGTCCCTCAGTTGTGCTTAGAATGGAATACAGACCAGGGACTGAGCGTTTTATTTAATGTTCAGATATCCTTGCTAAGGAAACACTAACATACTGTAGCTTTGTTCAACTTAAGAAATGGGAATTAGAGGTCAGCTTCACATCATCTTAGTTTAATGTTAGGCAACTTGTCTTGATTTCTGTAGCTTCTTAAAAATGTTCCCTGCATCCCCTTAGATGAAAAGATGCAAATGCATTTGTAACATTTTTGATCAAATATTTTTAAAAACCTTTATAGAAATATTCATCTTATGGAAAGGTAAAGCTATTGTTTAAAAGTTGATGGAAATATTTTATTCAATTATATTTAACATGTCTATATAAATGGTCTGTGTCAGGAAGTCCTTTGGTAAGGGCAAAACTAACTTTTCCATTTTCTGAGCTATTTTGGCAGCCTTTGGTTCTTTTTATGCCAATCAAACTACTGTCAGCTATGTACAGTAACATTATGGATACTCACCCTTGATTTCATTATTGACCATATTCTTTGCAAAGGATTTTAAACTCTTGTAGTGCCAGAGTGATTCTCATCTGTGCCATATGTTGTATTAAAAGTAACACACTCTTGGAAGTAAAAGTCAAGTAAGAGCCATCTGTAACCTAGGAGCGTGCACTGCAAGTAGGTCATGGTGGATCCTTCCTCTACAATTATCATTAAACTCCAAAAGTGAAGTCCTCTTCGTGGAAGAGTGTTTATCTATGACCCATAAAATGGACATGATTGTTTGTTATCCTTTGTTGCACTCATCAAATAATACTTACAGGTTTTATTATCTTAATATTCTCTTTCATGATAATACTCATTTCCTTTTACCTAAAAGGAAAATAGCCTAGCATTCCGAGTATCTGTGTTGACTTTAACATTCCCTTCTTGGTGGTTAGAAAAGATACCTTTTTTTTTTTCTTTTTGTAAAATATAATAGCTAGAAAATTGCATCTTGTATTTGTTTCTGTAAGTCATTCAGTTGTAGCGTTAGCTTTACTGGTACTTTCTGCTTTGATTCCGAGAAGCCTTGTACAAGTTGCCTTATCAACGGGCCAACTAAATTAAAATTGTTCTTTTGTGTTTGTGAATCTCATAGTTTCACTGTATAGCTCTACTCTTTAATTTCCAGAAATCAGTGCATTTCACCGAATGCCTAAATTGTAGAATTTTCCTTAAATGGTAGCTGAGGGAGAAATAGAATGGTGCTAGCTCGGTGTACATGCCTGTGGACTTGGCTCGATTTCTTAGTCCCTTCTTCTTTAAACAAAATTTAAACAGTTTTTCTTTAAATAAAATCACATATATTCCAAATATTTGCTAACTCTATCTTTTGCTTTTTCTTTGAAAAGATTATAATGGCAGTCTTCAGACTTTTTGTCTTCTCCAGTTCCACGTCACACGTAGGTATGTGAACTGGTACCATATGTCTAAACTGTCCCTCATGGCAAGGCCTTTGGGTCAGTAGCCATAGGAAATACAGAAAATTCGAAATTTGTATATAATTTGATTGTTCAGATAATAACACTGTCCCAAGCCATGTCCTTCCCCATGTTTGTTTGAAACTCACATATCCCAGCATTAAAATGCAACTATTAGCTTTAATGTTACTTACTCTAAAGTGTATTTGAGAATTTCTATTCTTGTCTTGAATTTCATTAGAAAGAGATCAACCAGCCCAAATATCCAGGAAATTTTCAAATATTTTAGAGTGTTTTTCATCTTTTCTTAGGATACATTGTATAAAATATTCCTCAAGAAACCCACCATTTGCCCCATTCTGAAATGTGATGATTTTTCACTGACTTCTGCATAATAATGAAATTTAACTTGATAATTCAGTTCATTATCTTTTATATATTGAGAATCTTGTTTAACACATTATTTAAAGCTGAAAGAAACCAAGCTGAATTTTGCAGTGCATATGTTTGCTAGCTTCCCACATCCTGAGGCATGGCACAATTTGGTTATATTTAGTTATGTAAAATTTAGTGCAAATAAATTCTAAGTTACCTGATGTTCTTTATATGAGTGCCTATCAGAAACGTGAATAAGAATGTCATACAAACCTATGGCCTATCTCTCTCTTCCCCTCTCCTGGCTGTTCAGTTAGTGATTTCTTCTTCACTGACTTTCTTAAATTTCCCAAGAAAAGTGGAAAAGTAGTCTTTGTACTGTTGTTGGGCTATTTAATAGTATTTATCTTGTTTTATTTTTTCAAAATTTCATTCATACTATGTGTTATTTATTTTTCTCGAATTCATACTCCATTTTCTCAAAATAATTTCTTCGCTAAAGTGATAAAACTAGGAGAATATACACGGTTTGTGGCATAAGAGATAAGAGACCCTTAAAGGAGTTGATTATTCTCTGAGGGTGAGAATCACATATGTAACTAATGTGAGGGACTGAGTTTTCTTTTTCTTTAGTTGAAGTCCTCCGTCTACTAAAGTGCTAAGGTGGCTGATTTCAGGACCTCTTTTATGGAAAAAGGAACTTTTAACAAATTTAAATAACTTGTTTGTTTTATCTGTTTTATGTTTGTTTTATCTTAGAGCAAGAACATTCTAGTGTAAAACTTAAACCTTTTAAAAAAAGGCACTTCTAAAATAGCTCTGATTATCTTGCCTCAAATACAAGTAAAAGACTAGACAAACTTTGTTGTGGTGTGAACACTGTTAGGGGTGTGGTGTGGGTGTGTGTGTGTGTGTGTGTGCGTGCGTGTGTGTATGTGTGTGTGTGGTTGGTAGAATCATATAGGGTGTCCCTGCCTCTTCTATAAAGCAGGTACCATGCAACTAAATACTCATGGTGATTAAGCTAGAAAGCCAGACAACAGCTTGATGACCTCCGTTTCCTTTTAACATATATAACTTTCCTGGTCGCCATGCTGATGGCCACATTGAAGTATTGCTGGAACCACACTAAAACATCCTTCCTTTCCTATAGTGGCTTCTATGTAATATAGGCAGAACCCTTTAAGAATTTGCTCATCATTCAAAACCACCAAAATGAGTACTTCAGTGGGCTGCACCTCAATAGGAGATGCTCTTGAGTTTTACTGAGAAAAGTGGATGTTTGTGACTAGTTTGGTGACTAGTTTGGTGGCATTCCTTCCTCTGTGCTTCCATCTAAAAAACTACATCTCAAGCTTATCTCCAAATTAATTTTATACCTGCTATAAAAACACCTCTACCATGTCCCATTCTCCTCACCTCCATCCCTGGTTTATCATTAGTGCTATTCTGAAAAAGTTTAATCTCAGAACAAAGAATCATTGAGTAGATAATGTACATTATAAGTTGCTTTCCTTTTTCATGGGCAATAAGTTAATATGTAAAATCTTTTCCATTAAAATGTAAATTTTGATAACTATATATTATATATGGAATAAAATATAGGAAACTGAATTGTAAGGATATAAATACATCAAGACTCTGGTGTCATGAAAGCACAAGAATAAAGCTGGAGATGGTCCCAGAATCCAAGATGTCCCAATAGCCTTTTGTATCAGTTTCTCTATTTTTGGTATTTTGCATAATGTGTGGATCCTTATTTCAAGTGAGGGAAGAAGTTTCTCAGTCAGTTACATTTCCTTTCTTGCAGCTCCTACCTTACTTTTGCCCAGGAGGTAGTAGAAATTCTGTACCATCTATTTTTATGAATTGTAATGATTTTGCCCAAGAGTTTTCTAATGAAAACAGGTTCTACAATAAAGGAGTTGATTAGCCCCAACAGCACTAATTAACTACAAAAGAAACATCAGTGAGCAGTCTCCCTCTATAAACACTGACCAATTAGATGTTTCCATAATTCCATGTATTATGTATAGTACACTCTATAAATGTAAATGTAATGCTTGTTAAGAAAAGTGCAATTTATTGTACATTGTCCCAGCAAATGTTTACTTTTATAATCGTTATGAACTTGAATTGAATTAGTATCTTGTTTTCATGTGTGAATGAAACCTTGTGAAATAAATAAATGCAACCAAGAAGGTAACAAGGTGACTGTTTTTGTGAGCCAGTGATGTTTCCAATGCTTTGTGTTGCCCCTTTGGCCCCATTGAGCAGTAATAAACATTTGTTCTGAAGTTCATATATGTCCTTTTTTTTCCTAATTGAACCTAGTATGTGTGTTTCAACGAAATATTCAGAACCCTGTGTAAATGAGGAACTAAGAGTCCCAGGCTCATGCAAATCAAATAACTACAGAACCCATAATACCTTGCACTCTCTCACTGTTTACTTTTCCTGCAGAGGTGAAAGGGGGATCTGCCTAAAGGGACCAAGAAAGAAACCAGAAGTTCACGGTTATCGCCTGGTTCTTGCGTTGTTTTGTTTCGGAATAAATCCTGTTTGCGGTTTTCCTAGCTGATTGCCTTTTGGAAGTTGACATTGTGACACTTTATGAGGTACTAGACCCCAGTCAACTTATTAAGAGAAAGTGTACAGGAGTTTGCTCCAGGCTGTACCTTGTAAAATGACAGCCTGTACAGCAGCAGTGCCAAGTGCTTTGAAACAATTTTAAAACACTTTATTGTTTCCCTCATTAACAAATAAGTTGAATAAAATATTTGTCACATGTCCATTTTATATTTGCATGAGTCTTGATTTCATCTTTTTGAAATATACTTTAACAAAACATGTGGTTACTGTCAAAGACCCAGAGCAAGATCTTTTAAAAGTTTGCTTGTAAGGAAAGTTTATAGAAGTTCAGGCTTTAGAAGAAAGGGGTCATTAAATAGAAATTCTAAATCTAATGGGAAAAAGAAAACCTACACAATTTCCAAGTATCTACAAGTCTATAATTAGTTTGTTCATGTGCAAAAAGAGGAGTTTTCATATTATCACATGAACATCAGCATTGTAAAAGAGAAGTTTTGTTTGATTTTAAGGGTTCTAATTTTTTAGGAAAGGCTTAGTTTTCATTTATCTGGAGACTGGAACTAGACACAGTGACTCTGATGGGCATGTCTTGAAAGCTGTGGGGTTTTTATTTTATCTCAGAATGTAAAGTTGCAATTTTTTTTTTTTTTAACTTTGGCATCTCATGTACTCAGTTACTCATATAGACTGCGATACTGACGTCTGGGCTAGTTATAGCAACTGTGTTACAATGAAGTGTAGGCCAAATAGAACAAATTAATTGTGTTTCTGCTGTAATTTAAATTTTAACAAATCTTAATGTAAAAATAATTTTTTTCCTTAACATTATATACTTATGTATAAAATTCAAGATACCTCTAGAAGTGGTAAGACAATATTCCTCAATATAACAAGTAAATGTGTGCCAAAACAAAATTACAATGACTTAATTTTTCCATTACCCCAATATTTTTTAATTGTAATAATGCCAAATGCTATAGACCCTTCCAATTTAAATAGCAAACAGCTCAATATTAACATCCACATGCTTGTTAATTTTAGACATGAATTAATGGTTTTAAACACAGTATTTTTAAACAAGACTATCTCGCTTTCCTAAATTAAAATTTGACTAATTTTTACAAAGTACATGTGCATACATGTGTACATTAGGTAGCTACACCTACGTTTATACACATATACATAAATTTCTGGAAATGGTTTAAAGATTATTTCTTACTTCAACGTTACATTCAATACCATGATAATAATTTCCCTCCTGTTATATTTTTGTTACACTTGCTGTTATGAGAATTAGGAATTAAAATTAGAGAAATTCTTAACATTATACTAGGACATCTAAATTTTAGGAAATTCACAATTTATTGTGATGAAGTTAGGAGGCTAAAAATCCAGACAACAGCTTGGTCTTGGTAAAAGGAGTGGGAGTTGTGAGAAGTGCTTTGATTCTCGACATATTTTGAAACAAGACTTACAGGATGAGATAGGATCTGAGATGAAGGTTCAAGTTTGACTCCTTGGCCTGAGCAATTACAAGACTGAGGTGTCCATTCACAGAACTGGGAAATAAGTAAAGGGACTGATTTGGGGTAAGATGATAAATTTGGAGTTAATTTTTGAGAAGCCAAATTTGATGTGTTTATTAGACTTCCAAGCAAAGGCTGGAGCTCAGAGGAGTGGTGCAGCTGAAACTGCAGACCGGGAGTCCCTAGCTAACAGATGGTATTTAAACCCTTGTGATTTCAGGATAGCTAAAGGGAAAGAGTTGCCCCCGTGTACATCACTAAACAAATTTGAAAATTTCTGTATTGCTGAGCTTTCACCCAGAGCAATGAGGTATTTCTTCCTTGTTTACTACTAAATGACTTCAGGTTATTGGTGGGGCACTTAAAAAATATCTAAGGTATAATTTACATACAATAAAATGTACACATCTCAGGATTCCTGCCATATATTTTGACTATTGCATTAATCATTGTGTTACAGGGCAGGGAGAGGGGCAAACCTGCAAACCCTGCAAACCTGCAAACCTGCCTGCTCTAAATAGGTTTGCCATCCGCCACATCAACACAAAGAGACTTTAATGAAAAGGAACTTTAATATAATTAGTAAACAGTACAGGAAAGGCAAAGAATATAGTTTCTAAACTAAGCACCCAAAGTTACCCCTCCGCTTGTGGGTAAAAGTCCACCCAAGCAGAATTGGCCCAGAGCAAGGCCCCAAGGCCTGCCACAAGTCTAAAGCATCTTCCAGTGGGGACCCACAGGAAAGGCTCAGAACCAACCAGACAAGTCTGGAAGGAAAAGAGCAAAATCAATACGGAGACAAAAACTGCCATTGTCACCTCCCCACGGGTCTCTCACCCACATCTGTTTCACCCAGTCCACGACCAAAAGGCAAGCACAGTTTCTTCACTGTCTCTCGGCATCATGTGCCTCCTCCAGGTGTCCTTCTGGCTCTCCATCCTGCTTCCTTCCTTCTTCAGTCTCCTCTGAAGCTTCTTCTCTCCCTGCTCAGCTCCACCTTCCCTTGGGTGGGGCAGGGAACCTGGAACCTCTCCCTTTCCTGGAGACCACCCCGTTGCAATTGTAGTATTTCTCCCGCATCAGCAAAGTTCCTTCCTGGACTTGCTTAAGTATGACTTTTAAGTATAATGTCGGGGTATAAGATAATGTTAAAAACTAACTCCCTACTCCTGCCCAGCAGGCAGCTATGGGAGGCTAGAGTAGATAAGGGAATTGATAAGGCTGCCTTAGGGACAAGATCATAAAACCAGCCACCATGACCAGAAAAACCAGCCTGGCTCCAGGAATGCAGAAACAGGACTAGCACACGGTTGTGTCAAAAGGCATCGCCTGAGACCCGACATCCCAGCAGCTAACTGGTGCAAACTGCCTAGAAAGGCTTCAAAAACACAGTTTAAAAGAGTGACTCAAATGCTCCTTCTGTTATAGAGCAGCCCCGACATCCTTTTCCCCCTAACACTTCCAGCGCAGACCTCACCTGCCGCTTCTCTTAGCAATGTATTTAAATAAATCTGCCTTTTCTAGTCTCCACTCAGTTTCTGATGAATTCTTTCACCCTCACACCTCCCGCCTTAACAGAGATTCCTCCTCACTACATATAACATGACAAAGAAACGACACAAATGTTTACAGCTCAATTAAATTTCCATAAAATGAACACACCAGTCACCAGCATTCAAATTAACCAACAGAACATTATCTGAACCTCACAAGCCACCTCGTGGCTCCTTTCTGTCATTGTCTTCCACACCCTAGGTAACCTTTTCCTTTTTTTTTTTTAACACTTTGAGCTAATAATTTTGGTTTTAGACTTAATTTAAATAGAACCAAACAACCTATCCTCTTTGATGTCCAGCTTCCTTCTCTTAGCGTCATGTTTGGGATTTATGCATGTTGTGTAACTTGTCTAGTTTTGTACTTCCGATTCGCCTGTTCTACAAGGAATGCTCAGCCTCATTTGTCTCGGCGCCTTCGCCTATTCCGACTTGCTGATTCTAATCACTACCTTGGTTCATATAGAAAGCCCAGCGCAGGCTACTTGACTTATGCAGGTTGACATACTATTTATGTGCACAACCGCCTCTGTAGGCGTTTTGAGGTTGCTACTAAAGCAACCTGAAAAGCGGGGCTCAGCGCTTCGGGATGCTGGAGGGAAGAGCTGGAGGGAAGAGCCGAAGCCAGCCGCAGGCAAACTCCGACCACATTTCCTCCGAAGGTGACTAGACCACTTAAACCCAAGGCAAAACTGGGGAGAACTGGAAAGCTGCGGAACGGTCGGTGAGGGGGCGAAGGCACGAGGGAAGTAATTCAACAGCACACTAAGAGAAAGGCGCGACCGCAACTGCCTTGTCAGAACGAGGCGCCCCGTATTTGCAGCCTTAGTTCCGGGCGGTGTGACAGAGGCCAGTCCTATCGCCAACGCAGCCCCATTTCCTGTTGCGGTTCTGGATGACGCCACTAAGCCCTGCGAAACCGTGACGTCCCCAGCGCGCCGGAACCACTGAAAAGCAAACTGTTCCCTCGAAGAGTCCTCCACACTTTTCTTCTTCCTTCCTGGCCTAGCCACTCCCCTTTTTGAAATTTTTTGCCCGTGTCTAGCAGGGGCTCTCACTAGCCCTAGGGAAAATGGCTGCTCCGAGAGTGGGTGACCTAGAGGGGACGGGGAGCAGCCAATTTGAACCCCCGAACATCTGTACGTTATTTCCGGGGTTGGCTCAGGAAAGTGCGGACGAGCGGTCCGACCACGACTGCGCAGCCGGGGCCTAGGAGGTCAAAATATAACGCTGCACTTGCCCGGGCCGGAAGGAAGAGGCGTTACTCGCCTGACGCGCCGGTTTGCTCGCGAGAGTTGGGCGTTGCTAGGAGGCCGGCGGACGGGGCGGGGCGGGGCGGGCCCGGCGCGGGGGGCGGGGCTGAGTGCGGCGGGCGGCGCTCGGGGTGGGCGGCGGCGACGAAATCGCGAAGGTTCCAGAGGCGCCGCGTGCGGAAGGCGGGCCGCGCGCAGGGTCGGCTGTAGGCGCGTGTGGCGGGCGCTGCCGCGGGTGCCGGGGCGGTCCGCGCTGGCGGTGGGCGCACTCGGGGCGGCGCTTCCTGTTCTAGTCACTGCGCGGCTGCAGCTCGGGCCTTGCCGGACTCCAGCCGACCATGGCCTCAGCGTGGGAAGAGGTAAGGGGCCAGCCTCGCCTTCCTCGGTCGGCCGCGCCGGCGCTTTCGGCTCCGTCGCGGGCCACTCTTGCCCACCGCCCGGGTCCCCGTGCCGAGCTGCTCCGCGGTGGCCGCCTCCCGTGGTCCCTTCCTGTGTCTCCTGCCCTCGCGCCTCCCACGGCCGCCCACCTGCCCACCTGCCCACCGGGCCCCGGCGGCCTCCGCCCCGGGACAGAGTTGCCGGCCGCCCTCCGCTGCTCCGCGGGGCCCTGCGGGGTGGCTCCCCGCCGGGAGGGTGAGCAGGGGGGTGTCGTGATCCCCGAGTGCTGGAAGTGCAGGTGGGGCGCGAGAGAGCTGGTCACCTTCGCGGTTCTTTCGGTTCCTTGGGCTCCGTTATTCCAGCCCTAGGGCGCGTGGCCCCATTTACTCTAACACCGAGTGTCATTGCTGGTGGAGCAGTCGGAAGGCGAGAAGTCCTTGGTCCCAGCACTGTAATGCTCTTGGTTATGTTTTCTTTACACATAGCAGTGCCTGTGTTACGTTGGGCCATCTCTAGGCTTGTACAGACCAAGTTATAGTTCTAAAAGTTTAACTTGGCAAACAGTAATCTGCTGTATGCGTTCTGAAGAAAAAATATTACAATTAGTGGTAGGAAATAGCCTTTTCCTCTGTTAAGCTGTATGAACATGGGGACTAAATTTTTTGGACACTAATAATACTTGCATACTAATAATACTAATACTTGCATTACTGCACTCTGGTCTAAGTAGGAGGGCAGACAATACTGTTTACATATTGAGGTTTTAACTAGATTTGTTTTCTGGACACTTTTTTTCTCCCTCAATGTGAACAAAATGGGAAAGCTCTGTAGAGTGTGTAGACTTTAGGAATCTGCTGCAAGTGAAGAACAAGTGTGTAAGTATTCTGGGTAACTTGTCACATTTATGAAGCCTGAAGATAGGCCATGTGGTGCCACATGCCCTGAGCAGACTGAGGTCAGCATTATTAATCCTCTTCAAAGCAAATGACTTTTGAGTTACTTGAAAATACACATTCGAGATTAAAATTTAAAAAAAAAACAGTTCATTTTAAGTGTACCCATCAGTGATTGTTAGTATAGTCATAGTGTTGTGCAGCTATATAACTAACTGCCTGATTCAAGAACATTTTCATCATCCCATGATGCCCATTAAGCACTTATTCCCCAGTCCGCTCTTCCCAGCTCATGGTACTCAGTCTACTTTCTGTCTATAGATTTGCTTATTCTGGACATTTCATGTAAATGGAGTCTTATACTATATGACCTTTTGCTCTTTGGCATCTTTTACTTAGCATGATGCCTCAAGTTCGTCTATGGTATAGTCTGTATTTTATGTGTGAATGAGACTCCATTTTATGCATATATCACAATTTGTTTATTCATCAGTTGATGGACATTTGGATTATTTCCACTTTTTGACTGAATATTTGTATGTAACTTGTTATGTGGACAAAAGTTTTCAGTTCTCTGAGGTACATACAGTTCCATACATAGGAATGGAATTGCAGGGTCTTAAGGTTAGAAGGACCAAACTCCTTTTGCAGTGACTCCATGCACCATTTATTTTGCTCTCCCGCATGTCATGTATGAAAATTCCAGTTTGTTCACATCCTCATCAGCACTTCCCACTTTTCTGGTTTATGTTTTGTTGTTAGCCATTCTAGTGGATATGTAGTATCTCAGTGTGGATTTGATGTGCATTTCATTTATTACTAATGATGTGGAGCATCTTTTCACAGTCTTGATGGCTATTTCTACATGTATCTTTGGAGGAATGTGTGTTTAAGTATTTGCCTGTTTTAAAGTACTTTGTTTTTAATGCCTCCTAGTGAAGAATTTGGAAATAAATTAGAAGTTAAAGTTTGAATATGTTTAGTGGGGGTGAAAGGAGATTCCATTTTGAGTAAGGGTAACATGCATGCTAAATAGAAAAAGGCCTTTATTATCTAAGATTTCATAAAGACCATGGGGAAAGCACTGGGAGCATCTCTTACCATTGCAGGTTTGTAAGTAACAGAACTGAGGAACTACCTCAAACAGCCCTCCAAGTTTCTGCAGACGGATAGTTGATACCTTAATCTTGTACTGTAGAGACAAAACTGGCTATAAAGAGGACCTGGGAATTCAGCCAATGTACAATTCCTTGATTAATTCTTACTACTTTCTTGAGTCTCCTAGAAAAATGATTAGTATTCTGTCAAGAAGCAAAACTTCTTGTTGATACATTATTCTATTTAATTTTTTTTTTAACTAAGTATATATTCTGGAAATAAATGTACTCATTTTACATTTCAGTGTTTTTATTGAAATTATTCATTGTGATTTTTTGAAAACATAATAAACAAAAACCCAATCATCTTGACTGTGCAGTCAAAAGATGAGTTTGCATTTTTTTATTTGCTTGTTTTTAGTTGACTGTTGGAGGAGGAACAAAGTGTGGACAGAGGACTGGGCACAGTTGGACATTTTATACCATATTAATTACAGATAGGTGAAACAAGGGCATCTGATAAATGAGATAATCAGACATGGGGTTAAACACATTGCTTTTTCTGCTATTCTCTAAGACTGAAATTATCAAACATTTAAGGATTTTTATGCTTTACCTATTAAGTGATCCCAGGCTATAATGTAATAAGATTCTTGTCAAATTGTTAGTATCTACGCAGAATGTAAAATTAAGAAAAATGAACCAGTTTGTAAAGATCATAATACATTTACAGTATGTTAGAGAATAAGGGAAAAATTGTTAAGCTCATTAGTTTTTAACCATCTATTTAGCAATCTGTTTACTCTTAAACTTCATAAAATGTTGGCTCTATCTCTAGAAGGTAGAAATAGAAGAGACTTAGAGGTGATGATGCACTGGCTTGAGAAGGAAAGAACAGGTGGCCTTTTTAGTGATCCATGTGCATTTTTGGATTGTTTGCCCCCATCTAAGAGGTCAGCCAAATTCCAGATTTCTAACTATAAGATTGATCCAGAGCATGAGAACAAGACTTTTTCTTAAAAGCAGAAGTGTGTTTTTATTTTGTCTTAAAAATTCTAACTTTTATGGGTGGCTTTGGGTATTTGGGTTAGGAACCTCAGGGAGGGCCACGCACAGTGAAGTGTGGTAATCAGAGGTTTACCTTTGTAAAGCTGCCACATTGCTCACTCCACTCATCCATCTTGTATCTGCTCATCTTTAATATTTTAAAAATCTTAATATCAGATCATTAGGACCAGAAGTTATAAAGAAAATCATTGCCTTTGAAAAGATTTCTTTATCCATAGTATCTTGTATGTAAAATGTTGTAAAACAAAGGCAGATAACAGTCAACCAGACCAGACAATGTAGGCTTGATCACCTATTGTCATTTCAAGATTAAGTGTTCCTTTTTAAAAAAAAGGAAGCTTGGGTTATTTACAAGTCAGTAAACTAGAGGAAAGATTTCCTAGCTGCTATCCACGCTAGAAAATTTAAATGAACCTTTTGTTTAAAGATTTATTTTATTTATTGATGCATACAAGAGCTGGGGTGCAGGCCAGAGGTGTGGGGGATGAGAGGATTCAGCACAGACAGTGGGGAGCAGAACAGGCAAATTGACTGAAATACACTGCTGAGGGGAACAGCGGGCAAGTCTGGAGAGGTCTGCTGCTCCTTGTGAGTAGCTCCCTGGCTGGGGGAGTGAACTCCTGCTGCAGTGGCTGCGGACAGTTCCACAGTACTGAGACTTAACCTGTTGTACCACCAGGGAGGCCCTGAACCTCTTAATTCCTTACATTGAAATGACCCCATGGGTACAATATCAGACTATTATTTATGATAGTTAACTTATCTTTTACAGCTACAGAAAGATTTAGAAGAGGTAAAGGTGCTGCTGGAAAAGACCACTAGAAAGAGAGTACGAGATGCCCTTACAGCTGAAAAATCCAAGATTGAGACAGAAATCAAGAACAAGATGCAGCAGAAATCACAGAGCAAAGCAGAACTTCATGACAATGAAAAGCCAGCTGCTGTGGTTGCTCCCATCACCACAGGATACACAGTGAAAATCAGTAATTATGGTATGACTCTCTCCCTTGCATCCTCCCAGCAACCTAGTTGTCACTTTTGACCCACTAACCAGACAATTTTAAAAAGTTTTGAATATTTGTTTTTGGTGGTTTGAAAGGGAGGACCAGGAGCCATCAATTCTTATTTAATAAGATGCTTTTTAAGAAATAAAAGAAAGGATACATTATAAAATCTGTTAGTGAATGGACAATGACTTAGTGCATTGATAGTAGCAACAAGGAAGGAACCTATTCTGAAATATATTCAATATATATGACAGGATTTTTTTTTTTCAGTCTTGTTTTGTATTTCAGTTTGTTAAGCAGTCATCATAATTAAGAAGGGAATCTAGTTTAATTCAGGAAATTTTTTGAGCACCTAATGTGGGCCTGTGTTGTGCTAGTACTTGTGATTACACAATGGTGGCTACAGTCTAGTCCCAGTGCTGGGTGTGGTTGAGACAACCATGTAGTTAATAACTTCTCAGTATAATAATACCATTTTAACTCAATAGGTTGTGAGCATTTTTGCTTTAGAAACAGTGCAAATTGAGTCTGAGCAGTGAGCTCTCACCAGGACATGGACAGTCTTATTTGTCTTTGCTCTCGTGGTATCTAGCACATAGTATTTTTTAAAATCTCTATCAGTTCAGTTAAGAAAATATTTACTATGAGAACACAGGTGATGAAATACTTTTGCTGTAGTAAAGAACAGTCATGAGAATTAAAAATATTTACTTTTGCATATGAAGAGGAAATTCAACAAGTGTGAGGAAACCACAGGAGCAAAGGACATGAATAGCCACAAAGGTGTGGTGTGTCTCCTGTGGTAGAGATGTACACAAGTGCTATAGGAGATGTTACGTATTTAGTTGACTCTAGGAAACTGGTCTGAAGATGGTACGATTGTGGTACATTAAGCAGAAATGCAGATTTGTCATTAGGGAAAAATTTGCTAGTGTGTTAGGGAGAATTCACTAGTGTATGGAAGATGGATTGAATGAATGGGTAGGAACTATATGTTCCTCCAGAACTTGCTAGGACGGACATCTTTTTGAATTAACATTACATTTTTCTTACATAGGATCAAAGAGAAACAGTCAGGGATATATCCATACACTCACACATAAAAGTATATGGAAGTGCATAAATATATGTATTGCACTATATGCTTACGTGATGTCTATTTTTTGTGTTGATAGAATTCATCTGGGTTAGAGACTAAATAATTTGGTATTATATATTGAAATGGCATTCAGTAGATACTGGTAGGTTGGTCAAATTAGCAAATTTGGAAGAAGAATTGGACTATTAAAATTTATGTTGCATCTTGTTGGGGAGGGAATTGAGGAAGCATTGCATTTGTTGAACTGCTCAGGGAGGTAGAAATGATAGCGAAATTAGACAACAGTGCTGTTCAGCCATTCAGTGGAGAATTGTGAATATTTAGTTGTAGGACAAAATTATTTTCCTTGAGAAGGGGAAATGAGCTCCTTACAGAATGTACTTGACAGTCACCTGCCTTAATAAAAAGAACATGGACTTTTTTTTTTTTCCCTTCATTCTTCAGTAAATCTGGGTTTGAATCAAAGTTCTGCCATTAGATTCCTAACTTGGGGTAGATAATAACTGTGTTGAGGCTTCATCTACAAACTAGTTTTTTTCATGTTTCTATTACTGCTTTTTCATTTCACCAAGTTTTACAATGAGCTATATGCATTTGCTATTTAAGTGATAGTATCAGAGACTTCAATCACGTTCCATCTTTTGTTGTTCATAGGATGGGATCAGTCTGATAAGTTTGTGAAAATCTATATCACCTTAACTGGAGTTCATCAAGTGCCCCCTGAGAATGTGCAAGTGCATTTCACAGAGAGGTGAGTTCCCATCACAGGAGGAGGGTGCTCACTGAGTCAGGTATTGCCTTATTATGCCTCTTTTCTTTGCAGTTTCTAAAGTTCTACTTAAATTTAAAATTATCCCTTGAAAGTGCTTTGAAGAGTCTTAAAACCTGGGATAGCCAAGAGCACATCCTAAAATAAAACTGGAAACTTTTCCAAAGGAACTGGAAGGCATGTGTTTCACAGTCCCAAAAGGATAATGTGTTCACAATTGTGTTGTAGGTCATTTGATCTTTTGGTAAAGAATCTAAATGGGAAGAATTATTCCATGGTTGTGAACAATCTCTTGAAACCCATCTCTGTGGAAGGCAGTTCAAAAAAAGTAAGTTTGCTTTTTTTTGGTCATAATACTGTGAAACTTCATTAAATTAAATCTGGCAGACTTAAAATTTGTCCTTTGTTATAGGGATCAGCAAACCATGTCCTGTTGCCTATTTTGTAATTGAACATAGCAGTACTCAGTGGGGTATGCACTATCTGCTTTGGCACTACAACAGCAGTTGAGCAGCTGCAACAGACCATATCACCTATGAAGCCTAAAATATAGAACCTTTACAGAAAAGTTTGTTGACTCCTGCTTTAATAGAATAGAGTATAAGAATGTTGCAGTAAAATCATAGGGGAATGAACTTTTAAAAATGGCTAAGAGCAGCCCTGGAATTTTAATGCCACTTTTGGTCACTTGATAGATGTGCCCTTTGGCAGCTCACTTACTCTCTGTACCATTCATTTGCACATTGGGAATAATTATTTCATAAAATTAAAATGGTGTACTGAAATGAAATATAAATTTCTCAAATTAAGGTAGTTATTAGAGAGGCACTATGTGATTTTTTAATTTCTATAATTTGATACATAAAAGGTTTTAAAGCACAGCATAGTTGGAGTTTAGTAGAAGCTGTAAAAATGAAATGTCATTTAAACTGTTATTCATGCTTTTCACTAATTCAGGTAATCCCTCTTTTCTATTTGAATGAGCTGCTATGTAGACTTGTCATTCTTTTTGTTTACATAGGGTGATACAACAGCTTAAGGTAAAATTAAAATAGTTTGTTGATTAGTTTGTTTCTCAGTGTTCCCTTCATCCTCCAATGCCACAGTTGAAGGAAGCTCAGAAGACATGTCACAGAGTAATATGGATCATTCTTGAATACATTGTGTATTCTTGCACTTCCTCTCTCACCTTACAAACTCCTTACATACCCAGTATTACCTTATATGATGTAGTTGCCTTCCTGTCTGATCCCTCTTACTATAACACTCCTTCAGTCATCCAAATCCAGTCACTTTTTTTTTTTTTTGAAACATAACCATACCATCCTATCCTGAAGCCCTTTCTGGCCTTTTCTCCTGAACCTTGTGGGTGCTCAGATTTCACTTCAAAGGCCTTTCTAAATAAGGTTCCTGATCCCAACACCCTCTTTGTCTTGATAGCACTTAGTATTTGAAAGTACTTCAGTTTTGTTATGGTCTTCTTCCTTTGCGTGAAAATGTCAGGCACCTAGGATGGATCTTGACTAATTGAATATAAGTAATATTTCCTAAATACTCTTATTTCATGTTCTGAGCTGTATCTTTTACCCTACTTTTCTTCCAGGTCAAGACTGATACAGTTCTGATCTTATGTAGAAAGAAGGCAGAAAACACACGGTGGGACTACCTGACTCAGGTTGAAAAAGAATGCAAAGAGAAAGAGTAAGCCTGTGTTCATTTCTTTAAGAATTTTAATGTATTCTTTACTGGGATTGTAGATTTCTATTATTTTGTCTTTATGGATAATAGGGTGTATAGTCTGTGATTTGGCCATTTATTTCTTAATGCCCATTAACTTATATCTGCTTTCAACTGTCAGAACCTACCTGAAAGAGGGTACACGTTCACCAAGTGGCTTTTTAAGGGACATTTTTGTGAGTTTGGTTAATTTGTTTCCCCCAGTGCAGATAAACCCTGGAGCAGTGGTGCTTCCATATAGATTCTGTGCCCATTCCCAAGGATTTTATTTCACTAGTTCCAGGAAGGACCAGATACCCATTGTGGTCTTCGAATTCCACAGAAGTTTCTGATATGTAGTAGGTCTCACTATTGCTTCTTGCATTTGAGATACGGTTGGCTGGAATTAGACCCTATCTACAACATTGACCTTATTTATTTTTTTTAAAGATTAATTTGTTTATGCATACAAGAGCTGGGATATAGGCCAGAGGTGTGGCGGGTGCGGGGATTCACCAGAGACAGAGTAGGGAACAGAATAGGCAGATCGACTGAAGTATACTGCTGAGGGGAGCAGTGGGCGAGTGGAGTTGCTCCCTGGCCGGCCAGCGATTGAACTCGCGCTGGAGGCTGCGGACAGCTTCACAGGTTGTGTCCTAACCCCTTGCGCCACCAGGGAGGCCAACATTGACTTTAAATCCAAACTGAATTACCTGAGTATAGGGTACTTGTCTTCCTCTTAACTTTATCCCCAGCATCCAGCACAGAATCTGGCATTTAGTAATTGAGGTGAATGAAAAACTGAATATATAGTTAATTCACCCAGTTTGGATGCTGATTGAAGTAGAGGTACTGACTATATTAAGGATAATGTTTTTTTAACTCATTAGGTCCAGACTCATGTATCTCAGAGTTAGGAAGAACAACTTTGTAAATAAAAATGAAAAAAAAAAGAGTGTGCTTCAGTGTGTCCATGTGTAATGCCTGTTTGTTTTTCCTTCAGTTGAAGTATTGTTTACAGGTTATTTGAGGAACCATGCTTGTAAAAATTCAAATAATTCAGAAAAAAAAAACAAAAAACCCCAACTTGCTTTTCCTGCTGAAAATCACCTGAAATCCCACTGCCCCTTACTGTATTGATGACCACTCCTTTGTGGACTAAGTGTGGAATGTAAATTGTTTTCATTAAGATGAATTTGTGTGTGTGATTTTAATTGTGAATGTTTGGAAACACTATCATCCCCCTTGCCCTGCCTTTCCATTTCCTGCCAACATTATCTGATTTGTATCTTTCCATACTTAGTAGTCATACATAACATTGCTGTCAGTAACTGTCATCATTTTTATATATTATTGACTGTGTTTTCTTCTTGACAGGAAGCCCTCCTATGACACTGAAACAGATCCTAGTGAAGGATTGATGAATGTTCTAAAGAAAATTTATGAAGATGGAGATGATGATATGAAGCGAACCATTAATAAAGCCTGGGTGGAATCAAGAGAGAAGCAAGCCAAAGGAGACACAGAATTTTGAGTTTTGAAGTCCTTTTGAGAACTGTGATGTGGAAATACCGATGTTTCCACTTAGGAAATGTTGGTGAGCTGCACAGATAAATTTGATAGATAACTATTTACTTAGCCTTCTAAGTAAAGGCAATGAATTCTCCATTACCAGCTGGAGGATTTATTTAAATAAAATATGCTTATTATACACTTCCTCCAAACACGGTTTCCTCAATACTTGTTCATTTTGTTTAAGAAAGGATAATATGTATTCTGGTATGAAATGTAAAAAAGGCAAATCTTGCCTAATGAAAATGCCACATTGTGTGTATTTTTGTTCAGCTAAGTGGTAGAAAACAAGTTTTTCCTTGCCTTTAAGTTCCTGACATCAGCTCCCACCAATGTAAGTCTAAACTTGACCATAGATTAAAAATATTTGTATAGTATCAGTTAGTAAGTTTTACCCTGGATCAAATGGGCTTTTAAGAACAATAAGCATAAAGCAAAGATACATGTAAGAAATCCATCTAATCCTATGTTCAATAAAATTAGATTTTTATTCAGTGGAATAACTTAGTTTGTCCAGCAGCATGTCAGAAAAATCAGGCTCTCAGTGGGAATTGTTTATTTTAGAGGGAATTAACCCTACATCAGAAATAATAGCAAAATGCCTATGATCTCCATTACTACATTATATTGGAGTGAATGCTCCTGGATCCAGTCCCAACCTGGGGAGGGAAGAGGTAGGGGTGTCCTTACCCCATTGAAAGAGCAATTCTCAGACACTGTGAGAATTCAATTTTGATACTACCTGGAGATAGCATCAAATTGCACAGGTTTAGGGTTCAATTCTGTAAGACTGGAAGATGAGAGCACAATGTGAATATACAACTCTTTCAAGCATGGTCTGTTAACTCTTGAGAGGCCTTTTACTTCCTTCACCTGGAATTGGTAGATGAAAGAGGCGGCAATGAGAAACAAGCTAATCAATAAACTATTTTAATATTACCTTTAAGCAGCTGTATCATTCTGTGTAAACAAACAGCAGAATTACATGCCCCCCCCCCCACACACACAAGATTTATCATACCAAATACATTGGTTTGGAATGACTTGTCCACATACCAGCTCATTTACATTAAGCCGTAAAGAGGGATTATCTGAATTAATGGAAAGCATAATAGTTTAAAAGATGGTTCATTTTTATTTTTATAGCCCTAACTTCAACTAGGCTAAGTGTTTAAAACCTTTTAAGTATCAAAATCAAATCAATAGGTGGAACCTAAGTAAAGTCTAATAATCTAATCACTCACCTGTGACTCTAAATTGTACTTCCAGGCTCTTTCTCAAATATAGACCTGGAAGAAATTTGGAATAATATATGCACAATAATGAAAATTTCCAAGTATCTATTAATAGGGGCCTTGCCGAATAAACTGGTGCCTCCATACAGGGAGTCTTACAGCCACATAATAAAATGAAGATTATTTCTATGTATTAACAGAAGACTCACCAAGATACAGTAAGTGAAAAAAAGCAAAGTGCAGAACATAGTTTATAGCATACTGGCCTCTGTGAATATACACACAGCTGTATTTGCTTATAATTAAAAAACGAACTGAACTAAAAGCAATAAAAAATGGCTACCAATAGGAAAAGGAAAGGATAGAAGCAGTACCTTTCTAAAGTTTTGACTTTAGATTCAATCTGAAATTTAACAATTTAAATGCTAAATAAGGGGCCTCCCTGTAGGGGTTAAATTCTCAGTGCGATCAAGCTGTCAGTGCTATCAACCAATGTAGCACAGAGTTCTATCCCCAGCCAGGGAGCTAACCCACATGGCATAGCAGAACTCTCAGGTCTCACCTGCTGCCCCCCTCAGCAGTGTATTTTGGTAGATCTGCCTGTTCTGCCCTCTGGTGAATCCTCTCAACTCCTCCGACCACCCCTCCAGCCCTACACTTCTGGCCTATACCCCAGTTCTTGTGTGCATAAATGAATAAAAATAAGTAAATGCTAAATAAAACCCTAAGATTCGAAAACCAACCTAACACAGAAGTTTATATGTTTTTCTAGAGCACAGTGTTGACGGCCCATTGGAAGTAAGATGTAGTCTAAGGACAAAAATAGATTCACACAGAAATCTTGAGTAAAAGGTGTATTTTGAAACTTTAATGTGTTATATATTTTTCAACAATGATAAAGTTAATGAATAGGTTGATGTTAGGAGTTAATATTTTGCTAAGTAAAAAATAAATGTACCATTGTTTTTGTTAAAAAAAAAAAATTCCTAGCAGGGTGCCCACCAAAGGCGCCTAAAAGCAATGACATTTCAGAATTCAATAGCAGTGAGCACCATTTAGTGCTCAGATGTGGTTTCAACATTTCCTATGAAAATGACAAGAACTTTGAATAGAATCTCTGTCTCTGAGGCAGGAAATAAGAAGTCTGGGTTACTTACCTTGAACTCAGCATGGAAAGATGAGGGGCTTCCACTGGTGATGGGATAATTTGACCATCAAAATTAGAATGGGTGCAAAGAAACATTAACTACACAAGTTGATGAAGAAAATGTTTTTCACCTTTGAATGTTGCTAGAGTACCAGCTCACTCTGAAAATTTGTAGAGAGGGCATTTGTGTGATCGATGGTAAGAAATATATTTTAGGGAAACACTGTTGATAAAGGAAAGTTCCTTACAGAAAAATTACAGTTAATGCAGGAAAATGTTGGGATTTAGAAAATAAACATTGCAACCCTTATTGAAAAACAGATCAGGGTAACAATCTTCAGTGACACTAATCTTTAGTTGATAGGTTAATGAACAGTGAGCTTAAAGTGCAGGGATCCCTCAACCCCTCCAATCCTAAAGCATCACTAACAGTTGAATGAGATACATACCTTCTGCTGGGCTATGCTGGAGCACACAACACTCTTATAAAAACAACCTGAATCTAGTCAAGCCTCTGGATGTAACTACCAGTTTATAGGGACAGAGGAGTAAAGTAAAGGATACATGAAGAAGCAAATAGCCTAAAGACTTTCTACAGCACAAGTCACTTGGTTCCTCCAACAAATGAATGACAAAAATGGGGAGTGTGACACAGCAACCAAGTGACCCATGAACAGTCAAAAGCCTGGCATAACTTGACTCCCCCAAACCTTAACTACTATACTAATAGCCTGCTGTAGACTGGGAGCTTTACTGACAACCATTGAACATGTATGTTGTATGGTATATGTACTATAGACCATATTCTTACAAGAAAGTCAGCTGGAGAAAAGGAAATTAGAAAATCGCAAGGAAGAGAAAATGCTCTTAAAAGTACTGTACTGTATTGATACCTTAAGGTTTACTTCATCTGTTTACAAAAAAAATCAGTGTTTAAGTGGACTCGAGCAGTTTAAATCTTTGTTCACGGGTTAGCTATATATGGATCATACTTGGACCCTCATTGATTCAAACAAAAAAGTAGAGGTTGCCCTATCCGGGGTGTGACAAGAATTAAGCACATTTGATGTAATACTGCTACTAGTTAAGATATTAGCTATTCTACTTGTAAAGTTGTAATATAAATTTAGGAAATATGAATTCAAGATAAATATGGTAAGGCCTCTCATAACTTTCCCTCATCCTGAGTTCTAGACTTCATTAGGCATCTCAAATACTGCATAACTGAAACCAAAATTCACTTATCTTCAGTTTCTTCTAAACTCACTCTTTTTTTCCCCACATATTTTCTAGTTGTCTTCTACCATCAATCTAGCTGCCCTTACCAGAAACCTGTCACCTTTATTTCTTGGATATTTTCTTTAAATATTACACCTTAAAACTCTGTTCCTCTTACCTCCTTTTTAATACCACTACTTTTCAAGGCCTCGACTTCTTGACAATTAGGACATCCTCCTAACTGATTATCTTGCCTGCAGCCTTTTACTCTCATCACTGTCTCCCACATAGCTACTGTCTATTTGGCGGAAATGGATGATCTCAGTCTCTTGCTTAAACCAGATCAATAGCTGGCATTTAAAATTAAGTCTTAACCCACATGATATGTGACATCTTCCACCAGATGACCCTGGTCTTGAGCTGCATAGTTGTGATAGAAGTGACTGTAGCTTCACGGATGCTTTTGTGCCTCTGCTTCTACTGCAAAGACCCTCCTCACCTACTGCCTCTAAAATGAGTAGTTTCCCATGTTATGTAGGGACTTCCTTGCTTCTCCATGTACATACAGGAACTCTTGTATGTTGCTGAAAGATTGAACCTGAAGGAAAAGATAAGCATACAGAGCATATTTTCACAGAAAATACTTTTTATTGTTCTATCCTTTGCACCATGCTTGGGAACATTATGTTTAATCCATTCAGTCTAGCAGAAAAGACAATTCACTATCACATTTTGCTGACAAAATGGAACATCTCAATTTCTTCATTTAAAATTTAGAAGTAATTTAACTACAGACAGCATTAAGTAGATCAGACTCTTGTACAGGACCCCTATAAAAACTAGGATTTTGTCTGTTAGAAAAGTCTTCTCACCAGAACCCACTTCCCTGCAAGTTTAGCAGGTTCTGGAGGTGATTACCACATTGCTCTCTGGACCCCAGACAGTTGTCCATGGTCAGCCAAGTGACGGAAGACAATGCGACTAAGCCTCCAGCGCCGTTTCACACCACGTGGACGGGACGTCATAACACACCGATTTCTGATTCTAACTGGGCAGCTATCCCGGGGAAGAGCAGCAATTTCTTCATTAGCCACTTCCTAAGGAAATCACAGTTATTACACAGTTCATGCACATTTATTCTACATAAGTCAGTGCTTAGAGGAAGAGAAGAATGGGCTGGCTTCACTGTTCTAGCCATAGTTTGGCAAAGACCTTAGACACAATTAGGAAACTTAACCTCTTTTTGGGAAGAAACAAAAAGACCAGAAAAAAATGACAAATGTTTGACATGTTCTCAGTATGATTTTTAAACATAAAAACTTACTATAGACACACAAGAATCTACAAACCATACCATAAAAACTCAGTAAAATTTCACAAACACAACAAACCTATGCAGCCAGCAAACAACATGACCAGCACCCGAGGGCCTCCTGGGCCTCCTTCCACTCACTGAGCTAGCTAATTACTGCCAACACCACAGAGGCATTTATCTTGCTTTGAATTTTATATAAAGGTAACCACAGAGTATACACTCTTTTTTATTCATTTCTCTTTGGTTTCCTTTATTCAACATTATGATGGTGAGATTCTTTCATACTGTTGCATGTCTCAATTTATACATTCTCACTGAGGATTTTTGTTGCGTGAACCATAATTCATTTATACATCCTTCAGCTGATGAACATCTGGGTGGTTTCTGGTTCAGGAGCTGTTATAAATAGTGCTTCAATATATATTCTTACTTAAGTCATTTGGAAAACATGTGAATGCATTTCTGTTGTCTTACCATATGATATAACTGCCATACTACATTGTTTAAGGAGTACAACATGATTTGATTAAGGCACATACTACAAACATTTACCACAATAAGGTTAGTTATCTCTTCTATTACCTCACTTCATTACTATGTGAAGTGTGTGTATGTGGTAAGAACATTTAAGATCTACTTTCTTAACAACTTTTAAGCAGCTACTACAGTACTGTTACTACTGCCACTAAGCTGTATAATAGACCCCCAGGACTTACTCATCTTACATCTGGAAGTTGTTAATCTTTTGACCATCATCTCCCACTTCCCCCAACTCTGGTAAACCCCCATTCTACTTTCTGTTTGTAATAGTTCAGCTTTTTTAGACTCCATGTATAAATGAGATCATATGTGTCTTTCTCTTACTTCATTTAGCATAATGCCCACAGGTTTATCCACATTGTTGCAAAAGGCAAGATTTCCTTTTCTAAAGCTTTTCCATTGTTGCAGGGTGTGTGTCTCTCTACCTCACATTTTCATTGAATGAATATCATTCATCCAATTCATGCAACGTAGATTTCTTGACTATTGTGAATAATGCTGCAATGAACATAAGTATGGCAGTACCTATCTGTAATGTTTTCAGATAAATACACAGAAGTAGAATTGCTTGATGATATACGGTAGTTCTATTTTATATTTTTGGAGGACTCCATACTGTTTTCACAGTGGCTGTAACAGGTAACATTCCCACCAATAGTGCACAAACATTCCTTTTTCTCCCTACTCACTGCTGAAATAAATAGAAGACACAAAGAGATGGAAAGATAGTCATGCTCATGGACTGGAAGAATTAACACTTCAAATAGCTGCATTACCTAAAGCAACATACAGATTCAGCACAATCCCTCTCAAAATGCCAATGGCATCCTTCACAGAAATAGAACAAAAAAATCATGAAGTTTATCTGGAACTACAAAAGACTCTGTATAGCAAAATGCTTCTAAGAAAAAAACAAAAATAGAGGCATGATGCTCTCTGACCTCAAATCATACTACAAAGTGAGACTAATTAAAATAGCTTGGTACAGGACTAAAAACAGACACACAGATCATTGGAACAGAATTGGAAGTCCAGAAATAAAACCACTCATATATGAACAATTAATTTATGACAAAAGAGCCAAGAGTATACAGTGGAGCAAGGAAAGTCTAATAAATGCTATTGGGAAAACGGGAGAGCCATATGCAAAAGAATGAAACTAGGCCACTAATACCACATACAAAAATTAATTCAAAATGGATTAAATAAAGAATATAAGACTTGAAGCCCTAAAATACATAGAAGAAAACAGGTAGTATGCTCCTTGGCTTAGACATACTAGGTATAGGATCTTATGCTTTAGGAAGCCACAAAAAGTTGGCATCCTCTTATTCAAATTAAAGAGTGTGACAAGGACACACAGAGGTGAGCAATGGCAGGTTAGAAATGGCCCCTGGTAGGGCAACAGTTTAGGGCACAGGCAAGGCACATGGCCCCATTCTTGAGCAAAACTTCCCAACGCCATGAATGCTGAAAGATTGGGATGATGTCAAGGAGAGAACTTAGGTCAAAATAAGTGCCCAATTTCTGTGTGGTCCCCATGCACCAGTACTTTCTAAGAATCACCTAATAAAAAGCTAGTGAGGAGCGAATAGTTCTCTTTAATATGAAACTCACACAAATCAGTTTCAAGGGTATTCACTTAAGTTGAATGGGAGCATATGCTTTCATTCTCCAGAAATTATACTGACCCTAAGTCAAACAAACTATCAAAAGTGACTGACTTTGAGTTAATGACCTTACGGTAAATAGTAACGCAACTTAATCAGCTAACCTGAAGGTCTTTTGGCAAAATGGTATTCTTCCTGAGCGAATTGATCCGCAGTCTCTCATCTGCGTATTCATAGGCCATTCTTCGTCTCTTTACATCTCGCAACATTTTCCAGTCCACATAGTAACCTCGAACTTGGCCGGAAGCTGGTGCAGGAACCATCTAAAAGAGAGCGACAATAAACAGGATAGCAAGACCTAGTCTCTACTAGTGTCCCCCAATTCTGCAATCCTCTTTCAGTCAATATTGATTACCTACTTATTTTTTCTTTAGTAATTTGGATCAATCACTTTAATTTAAAAAACAGACTTAATTTAGAATGACAATATTTTATGAGGTTATATAAAGCCAAAATGGTGGTAATAATATAATGACAATAAATACATGTGTTGCAAGGTGAAAAATTTTTCAGACTTTAATAAAATTCTCTTTGATTTTTACTTAGGCTAATAGTATGGCTCAAAAAATTTTAAAGTATAAAAAAGATAGACAATGAAGACTCCCTTCTACTTCATCCTTCACCTGCTTAGTCTGAAGAGATATAAAACAACCTATGAATATGCAGGTGAGATAACCCCCATGTAAAGGCCAGGAATGGACCACAGGGCAGGTTTTCTGATCCCATGCAGACCGGGTAAAGGAGGAGTCAGAGTCCTCAGTAGTTTTGCAGGTTTTTTATTTGGGGTTCACCAGGCATATGGCAGGCAGGGGTGCTGGCTGGGGGGCTGGGAGGCTGGCAGGCTTCCCAGCCCCCAGCAAGTCTTCACTCTATCTGGGCTCTCTAGCGTTCGTTCTGCTGCTTCTCGGCTTTGGCTTCGGCTTCTACTTCTACTGCTGCTGCTGCTGCTGCTGCTGGCGTCCCCGTGACGCCGCCCTTAAAAAGCACAGTCTTAACTCAGCTGAATCCCATCTACCTATGCCCACACCCTATTCCAGATGCCCGCCATCAGGCATGCATTCAGGACAAGGATCCATCATCTATCCTGATGGCGGAAGGGCAGAAAAGCCTGATATTTTCTTTACCCTACACCCCACCAAAGGTATCCACTGGTACTAGTTCTTGTATATCCTAGAGGTTTTGTCTATAGAGCACACGTAAACACTCCCTCTCCAGTGTTTCATCCCCTCCCACTCTTGTGTGTGTGTGTGTGTGTGTGTGTGTGTGTGGAACAAACGAACTGGTGCTGCAGAGGCTGCGGGCAGCCTCTCAGCCCAGCGCTCAACCACTGGGCCACCAGGGGAGGCCCCCCTCCCACTTTTTATGCCATTTAATAATGTACCTTCGAGCTCTTTCATATGCAGATGTAAAAAAGTATCCTCATTTTCAATAGATTGCATAATATTCCACTATATGAATGTGACAGGATTGAGGACACACTATCCCAAAATATTGCATCTTGGCACACTATTTCACGTGAAAGGAGTTAAGAGAAATACCGTGTGCAAGAATGACTTAGACCTTCATGTGAGGGGTGCCTTCCTCATACCCTGAGGAAAGGAGCATCCTGATCTCTAGCAGAATCTGCTAGGATTCCTCTAGTTACTGCACTTGGCCTATACCCTTTGTCCTGTAACATTTTCCCATGACTTTCCACTCTTCATAAAACCTAGTATAAAAATACTCAGGTTTAACTGCTTTTGGGGGAATTTTTATTTCCTTGTCAAGGCTCCCATGTCACAGAAAACTTACACTAAATACATTTGTATGTTTCTCTTATTAACCTGTCTTATACAAGGGTGTCAAGCAAGAACTTAAAAAGGTAGAAGGAAATAATTTTTCCCTCCCCTAGAGATGCATCATAATTATTTAACCTGTGGCCCACTGGTGAACAGTTACACCATATGTCACTATTTATCATTACTAACAATGATGCAGTAAATGACTTCCTTTACAAATCACTTAATATGTATTTCTATATATCAACACAATATATTCTTGGAAGCAGAATTGCTGTTGCAAAGTTCACTTTGAAAATATCATTGATCTAATATTTCTTAGCACTAGCTGCCTAATAATACAACAGACTCTTTATGCCATTTAGTAATGCCATATGTAAACATACTGTCATATGTTTACATGCTGAGAGTTTACAATTCTGACTGAGAGCATAGAGAATGACACTACAAACTCAAATATCTCCCAAAATAGAGCACACATTACATGTTAATGAAACTGCAGCTATAGGAAATAATGATGGCTTCCTTATTAAAGAAATATATATACTGTCTGTAAAAGAAATATATGTTCAGCATTATACAGAATATAAAAATGACAGGAGAACGCTACAGTAGAAAGCTAACATTTTCTCAATCTATTAACAAAAGATAAAGTGAATGCCTTCAATGGTTAAAGTCTCATGGGGAAATAATTCTACAATCACCTTTTGGATAGTTGATAAACATGAGGGTATTTCAACAATCATTTGACACATGCTTGAGCTATGAATACCATGGTAGCCATGGCTGGAAATAAATGTTATGGAAATGGGAGCGTCACCAAAGCCTGAAAGGGTGGACAGAAATCCAATACAGTTTGGAGGCAAAGGGCAAGGAGAGAAGGTGAAGTTTGTCGAAAGCAAAGAAGGGAATGAGCAAGATATATTCATTCATAAGACCAAGAGGGAGCTCAGTCTGGCTGAAACAATTCATGTGAAAGGATAATGCAAAAGTGGTTTTTACCTATGAAACTGAAAGTTAATGAGACTTAGAAAACAACATTAAACATTTTTTCCTTGAATTCCTTTTCAAACTATTCCTAATCAACTTCCTCTTTTGGGCCTCCTAGCAGGTTTCTATTTAATACTAATTTTAAAAACCTTCTCATTCTTGTCTGTATAACATTTTGTTCTGACTATAAAATACATTTTTAAAACAAAATATTTATTGGTCTAATTATATCTTCTGTGAATGTTTTATGTCTTTTCCCCACATTTCTATGGGAGCATTAGTATTTACTTAGCAGTTTGCAGTTTACGACAGTGCTTTAATATATTAAGACTACATTCTACTCTGTTCTGTATATATCCTATTCTGCCCTTGTATCTCACCCCTCTTCAACTTCCTAAGACCCTCACTGGACTTTTCAACTCATGGTCTACCATAACAAAATCTTCTAACTCAACATCCTCTCCTAACATTTCATTCACCTTTCTGCTCTAGTTGAATCCTTGCTAGTTTTTTTTTTTCTCTCCCACAACTGGGTATGGAGATGGGGTAAATGTATTCCTTGCTCTTCACAGCATCCAGGCTTCTGCCTTGAAAGCTCCTGGCTTCAACTCTCTAACCAATGAGCTATACTTCCCAATGTCCCCACATTCCTGCCTTCATGCACCACAGCCTCCACCAATCCCTTCCATTTTTTTTTTTTTTAAAGATTTATGTATTCATACAAGCACTGGGTACAGTCAGAAGCGCAGGAGGGTGAGAGAATTCACCAGAGCCAGAGCAGGGAGCAGAGCAGGCAGAAGGACCGAAGTACACTGCTGAGGGGAGCAGCGGGCGGCAGGAGAGGTCTGCGCGCCATGTGGGACCCTCCTCCGGTGGCCGGGGAGCAGCCGGGGATTGAACCGGCGCTGCAGAGGCTGCGGGCAGCTTTGCAGCCCAGCGTTCAACCGCTGCACCACCAGGGGAGGCCCAATCCCTTCCATTTTTCATTTATTTTAAAAGACCCTGGCTCACTGTCACTCTCTCCAGTATTCTCCTGTCTTAATTCCCGGTACTCTCAAGAGACATGAAATTACACCCTGCTCTTTCCTCCAATGACTTGTGTCCTCTACTCTACTTTACCTATTCTCTTCCATGTCCTAGGTCTCTCATCACCATTAATTGCGATTTAACTGTTTTCATGCATCTCATTTTCTATCAGCTCTTTCCAGTTTGTTCCTTCTAACACCTTGATAACACCCCCTCCATGAATTTTAATCTGTTTGATCCTGCCACCTTGCCACTGTCTCTAGTTTCTGATTTTCTGAATTCCACTGTCCATAAATACACCGTCAACCCTTGGCCCTTTTCTCATGCCACGATACTTCAATTCTTGCCACTAATCTTCTTCTCTACTTATGACTATTTTACACTATCTTTTCCTCCTTAATTACATGGTATCTATCTTCACATTCTCATACTCAGTTGGTAACCTCACTTTCTTTTTAATTATAAAATCAGAAGCAATCAGAAGAGAATTTACAAATACTCCCACTACTACATCTGCCCACTTAACAGCACCTGCAGTCATTTGCTCCACATTCCCTTCTGTTATTAAAGAAAGATCAGCTCTACTATAGCAGCCGCTGACCATGCAAGGCTGGTGAGCAACTGAAATGTGTTTAGTGAAACCAGGAAACCTATTCCCTAAATTTATTTAATTTAAATTTTTTAACTGAAGCACTGTAAGCTCTAAACAGCTTTGCTGTTTTTAAAGGACAACAGTTTCCATTTTAATGGTGGAAAATTTAAAACTAATTTAAAAATTAAATTAGTTTAAATTTAATTTAAATTAAATTTTAAATTAAATTTAAAACTAATACATGCTGGAAGACGAACCAAATTTTGAAGATCTAGTATGAAAAAATGAATGTAAATGTATTTCCTAAGTAATTTTTATAGATAACATGATGAAACAATATTTTAGAGCTGCTAAGCTAAAGTATTTTATTTGTTAAAGATTTTATTTATTTTTGCGTATAATAACTGGGGTGTCAGCCAGAAGTGTGTGTGGGAGGGGGTGGTGTATGAGAGGATTCACCAGAGACAGAGTAGGGAGCAGAACAGGCAGATCTACTGAAATACCCTGCTGAGGGGAGCAGTGGGCAAAACAGGAGAGGTCTGCTGTGCCACTGTGGGCTTAGCAGTGATAGTGCTGAGACTTAACCCCTAGGCCACCAAGGAGAACCCCATTAAAATACTTTATTAGAGTAATTTTATTTCCTTTTACTTTTTTATGTGGCTACTAGAAAAATTTTAGTTAAACAGCATGGTACTAGAACAAAAACACTCAGACCAATGGAGTAGAATTGAGAGCCCAGAAATAAAACCACAGGTATAGGGACAACTAATCTGACAAAGGTGTGAAGAATATACACTGGAATAAGGAAAGCCTTTTCAATAAGGGTGCTAGGTAAATTGGACTGCCACATGCAAAAAATGAAACTAGAACACCATCTCACACCAAAAATCAACTCAGAATGGATAAAAGACATGCGTGTAAGAGGGGAGACAATATATACATAGGGAAAACACTTCATGACATACACTTCAGAAATATCTTTGCGTATTCATCCCCATCAGCAAGGAAAGGAGAATATAAACAACTACATCAATCTGAGAAGTTCTGTACAGTGAGAGACAGTGACCAAAACAAAGTGAAACCTCACAGAATGGAAGAAAATATTTGCACACCATATATCTGACAAGGGACTGTTATAGAAGATCTACAAGAGCTCACACAACTCAACAAAAAGAAAACAACCCAATTAAAAAATGGACAGAAGCGCTAAATAGGTACTTCTCCAAAGAAGACATACAGTTAGCTAACAGGCACATGAAAAAATGTTCATCACTTATCATCAGGGAAATGCAAATTAAAACCACAATGAGATACACTATCTCACACATGTGAGAATGGCCCATATTTAAAAAAAGAGAAATAAGTATTGGTGAGCATGTGAAGGAAAAGGAACCCTTTTACACTGTTGGTAATGTAGACTGGTCCAGCCCCTGTGGAAAGCTGTGTGGAGGTTCAACAAAAGACTAAAAATGGATCTGCAATTTGATCCAGCAATTCCCCTCCCAGGCATCTTCTCCCACAAACACAAAAACACCAAAAGGAAACTTACAGTCCTATGTTTACTGCAGCACTATTTATAATAGCCAAGCCATGGAAACAAACTGAATGTCCAAGAACAAATAAGTGGATTGAGAAGATGTAGTGTATATACATAATGGAATACTACTCAGCAATCGAAAAAGATAAACTCTTGCCATTTTTGGCAACATGGATGGAGCTGGAAGAGATTATGCTAAGCAAAATAAACCAGGAGAAAGATAAATAACATGCTACCACTTATATATGGAATATAGAAAAGACTCAAAGACAAAGTATAAAACCAATCCCTGAAAACTAACCATAGATCTGAGCATCCAGGAAGGGAGGTGGGGAGAAAAGGAGAAGGGGGGAGGGGTGTGTGCATTAGAAGCACAACAGAGTTGTGTGGAGAACTGTGAGTGCTTTGGTGGTGGGAGAGCTACAACCAACACACCGAAGGGGGAGAAATCCTATTTTGTCATAATATTAAAGATGTAAAACAATGTGGTTGGCACTATTTCTTGTGGACAACAATGGTACAGAAGAAACGTCAATGTTCCTAAGAGCAAACGTCAAAAACAATACCCATCACCCCTTGCCTACACAGGGTACAACTTGAGCAGTTCTCCTCCTACATCACCATATTTTCTCACTCCACTGGATCTTTCCTTCGGACACAAAACCGTGTTACTTCTGCAATTAAAAAAAAACCAAACTACTCTTACTCCACTTCCTCTACCAGCTGTTGACCCATTCTTTGGTTCCCCGTTGCAGCGAAACATCTTCAAAAACTTGTCTACACAATGTTTCTTCCCATTCTGTCTCAAACGCTTTCGCCTCTACAACTCCAACTGTTATAGGACAGGGAGAGGGGCACCCCAGACCCCCACAAACCTGCCTATCCTAAATGGGTTCTGTCATCCGCCGCATCAACACAAAACATATGACGCTTTAATGGGAAGGAACTTTAATAAAAACTAGGAAACAATACAGGTAAGGCAAAGAGTCTAGTTTCTAAATGAAGCACCCAAAGTTACCCATCCCCTCGTGGGTAAAACTCCATCCATATGGGGTCGGCCCAGAGCAAGGCCCCAAAGCCTGCCACAAGTCTAAAACATCTTCCAGTGGGGACCCACAGAAAAGGGTCACAAACAACCGGACAAGCCCGGAAGGAAAAGAGCAAAATCAACATCCAGATAAAAGCTGCCATTGTCACCTCCCCAAGGGTCTCACCCACATCTGTGTCACCCAGTCCACAACCCAAAAGACAAGCGCAGTTTCTTCACATGTCTCTAGGCTCCATGTGCCTCCTCCAGGTCTCCTTGCCCCATCCTGCTTCCTTCCTCAGTCTCTTCTGCAGCTTCTTCTCTTCCTGCTCAGCTCCACCCTCCCTTGGGTGGGGCAGGGAACCTCCCCCTTTCCTGGGGACCACCCTGTTACACAACGACAATGAACACGGTCCTAATAACCTCCGTGGGACTAACCCTAATAGCTAATTCTCAGCGCTTCGTTCAATAAACCCGTGAACTTGGAACGCAGTCGACCAGTCTCTGTTCATGGAAATTCAGTCGTCGCTTGCTTCCAGGCCACCCAAGGCTTTCCTCCTGCCTCACTGTCAGTTCGTGTTAGTTTCCTTTGCTCGGTTCTCATTTCCTATCGTCAATGGCCCCTGGGGCCTCAACCTCGGACACCTTTGTTCTACTTACACTCAAAATTGGAGCCGCTCTTTCAACACCAGTCAGTTACACACTGAGGAATACCAAAATGACATCTCCTGAAACAGGCCGGAGGGGGGCCGAGGGCAGAAGGAGGGGGAGCACCTATGACAGTCCGCACGAGCCTCTGCAGCGGCGTGGGGAAGAAGACTTGCGGAGACAAGGGCAAGGGCCTTACCTGCCGAACTGTCCGTAGCAGCGAGCCCAGCATGGAGGCCGCCATGTTGTCCGACGCAAACGTCGACCCGCTACAACTTTATTAACACGGCCGCGAACAGAAGGACGTGAGGGGCGGGGCCTGGGCCGTGGGGGCGGGGCGAGGGTGGGTCTTAGACTAAGCGCTTAGCCACTGGGTTTGTGTTCTCGCGGGGTGTAAAGGAATTCGGGCATATTAAAAATCTGGGCGCGCGTCTGGTTGAACGACTCACTTCCGTGTCTTGTCCAAGCTATGTTAAACTGCATTCCTGTAGTTGATCAAAAAACGTGAGGAAGAAGAAGGTAAAGCTGAACGAGAAAAGAAAGAAAAAAAACAAAAAGAAAAAGATAAATAAACCACAAAATCAGATTTTTCTAATTCATTTGGGAACCATTTCAGAGTAAAAGTTGTCCTGCTCTCAAGAATTATATAAAATAAAATACTAAAAAAAGAAAAAAAAGTTGCCCTACTCTTCCCCCCCCAAAAAAACAAACAGAAAAACTGCATTCCTTCCAAGTCACCTCCTTAACTGCTGCACTGACCTTATCAGTTCACATGACCAGTTTCTCTTCCCCCAAGTCCCTCTCCGTGTTGCTCAATCTGTTCCTCCTCCTCTGTCTTCCAGTCAGCACATATTTGCCAGAAACCTGGGAAATAGATCTTGCCAGCTCCTCCTCCTCTGTCATCCCTCCTGTAGATTTTGAAAATCTCTTAGTTTCCAAATGCCCAAAAACAGATGACTGGATCAAGAAGATGTGGTACATATACACAATGGAATATTACTCAGCGATCAAAAAACAAACACATGCAGTTTGCAGCAACATGGATGGAGCTGGAAGGGATCATGCTCATGAAATAAGTCAGAAAGAAAAAGAAAAATACCAGATGGTCTCACTCATAGCAGGACTTTAGAAAACCTAAATAAGGGACCAGGAAAAAGACTAATTAATACAAAATAAAAATCAAAATCAACAAGCAACTATGGACCAGAGACACACTGGGGAGTGGGGGGAAGGATTATGGTCAAAATAAGGGAGGGGGTGCAATTGTATGGGGACTATAACCAAAATGAAAATGCATACATTGTGCAAAAATGAAAAATGATGTAAGAATTATATAAAATGAAATATAAAAAGAAAATCTCTTAGTTTCTCTCCAACCTATAATGGTGATGAGGATGGTATTGATGATGGCGAAGTGAAAGATAGTTCCCATATTTATGTCTAGGGTTTTAATTATTATTTGAAATGTATATTCTTAATATTTTAGAGCTGTAGGTGAAAAGCACTTAAAACATTTTGTTTTAGATGGGAGGAGTATTGCCACTAAAAAACTCTTTTTTGGTCTGTAGTACAGCGAATTTTTAGGTCATCTTCATAACAGATGTCCCTTTAATGAATCCTCTGAGAGGCTGCTTTCCTTTGTGTGGATGTTAGACATTTTGACTTCCAAAAGAGCAATCAATTATTAAGGCAACAAAGGATTTATTTGGAAACAAAACAGCAGAAGAAACGGGCACACAGTACAGCTTCCTGTTGGAGCCGCTAGGTTTTCCCCCTATTTTTCCTTCTACACTAACCTTTATAACCTCTGCAGAACCACCACTCAATTCCATCAGAAAGGAAAATAGTGGGAGATACAAAGAATGATGGGTTCTATAATTTGCTGCTTTACCCATGCATGGAAAGAATTCTGAGTATAAATGTTTACATTCAAGTGCCAACATCCACCTACTGTCCCGGTAAATAAGTATCAAGGAATATACAATAATTTGGTAAAGACCTGTATCTTAGGTGGGTTGATGGATGAAGTGGGGAGATCCCAGGTATGCTATCATGCCATTCATCATTTAGTCATTCAACAAATAGGTGTTGTGTTTATTATGTACCATTGTATATGTGTGTGTGAGATGGAATGATAGAAAAAAATCCCTGTCCTTCTGATGCTTATGTTCAATTGAGGATTATAGATTTAGACACAGGTGGAGCTATACATTATTGCTCAATATATGGCCTTTGCTTTTTCCTTTGGAGACTGAAAAGGAAACTTTTGGATGGACAGAGTATAACTTAAAGAGTTAAATGTTTTGAGATTTGATTTTCAGAGACCATTTTATTTGCTACATTTACTCTGGGTTTAATAAAAAGAGTGATTACATGATAATGAAATTGAGGTTCAGACAAGTTAGGTAACTTGCCAACCTCACAGAGCTAGTCCTTGGCCAAGACTCATGCTCTTAATGCCCCACGCTGTCCTCTGGAGAAGTAAAACTCCATGGCAAAGGCCTAACTGTTGTCATGGAATCCTTACTTATAAAAGGTACCAAATGGTTAATGTATTGTGTCTGTGCCAATTCAGTCAATATCTGGCTGGAGTTTTTCTTAACAAAATAATCCTAAATACGTATAAAAAAAATAAGGGGGATAGGAAGAAAGTAGAAAGCATTGACATTTTTGAAAAAGAAAAAGTCTTGCTTACCAGATTTTAAAGCACTATATATTCTTTTTTGAAAACTTGTTATTGGAGTGTCATTGTTTCATATCCTGTAGTGTTCTGACAGCCTAGGATTTCCCCCCTCAAGTGTAGTCACCACAGCACTCGCACCACTGAAACACCCATAGTCCTCCATCATAGTCCACTGTGCTTTTCTCACCCCACCCTTTGCTTTCACCCCTTCCCCCATACTTCAGATCTAGGGCCAGCTTTCAAGGGTTGGTTTTAAAGTTTGTCTTTGTCTAACCCTTTTTTGGTTTCTCTAGATTCCGCATGTAAGTGATACCAACCAGTATTTATCTTTCTCCTTCTGGCTTATTTTGCTTAGCAAAAACCCTTCCCGCTCCCTTCTTGTTGCCACAAATGACATGACTTTATCTTTTTTGATTGCTGAGTAGTATTTCATTGAAAACACCATGTATTTTAAAATTATAAATTTGACAAGTTTTTAAAAGGTTTTGTCTAGTGACATAATTGTACCAATTTTAGGACTCTATTCCAATAAGATATGAGAAACTATAAAATTTATATATAAAGACACTTACCATGGGGTTATTTATGAGAACAAATGACTTAAAAGTCCAACAGTGAGGGGAGAGTCAACTGAATTAAGAAAAAACATGTAATTCTAGTACATATATACATACATATATGTACAGATACAGGTATAACCATAGATTATTTAGAGAAAGAGATAAAGGATTAAGAAGGAAATGGACTCAAATAGTAAGTGTAATAGATAAATGACAAGATTACTGGTTATTTTTATATTTAAAAACGTTTTCAACTTTTCTATAATTTGTTTCACACTTAGTCTCACAAAAATGGGAGTGAAAGGAAAGAGCATGTGGAGGCAGAAAGACACAGGGACACACACATATTCACATACCCACACCCACACGTTTTCCATCCTGGCTCTGAAATGTGGGTATGGACAGCTGCCTCCATGGCTTGACTGTGGAGTGCGGGTAGTTCAGCCCTTGCAGAAGCAGCCACAAGGGCCATGCCTGCCAGGCCCCTGGAGCTCTGTGCTGCGCACTGAATTGGACACAAGGGGGCAGTAATAGCACGTCTGCGTTCCAACACCCGCGGTTCATCCTCGCCCAGTTCCCACATAGGACAGGATGTAAAATGGGAATGCGCGCGCGTGCACACACACACACACACACACACACACACACTCTCACATCCTTGTCCTCCAAATAAGATGCCACTTTCCCTATCCTCAGGCAGGACAGGCTAAATGAATTGTAGGGCCCAGTGCAAAATGAAAATGGATAGCACCTTGTTCAAAACGTGGAGGAAAGATGCTGTAATAAGGGGTAAATACAAAGCTGAACTTGGGCTGGCGGCAGGCACCTCCCACTGCCAGTCCTGGAGCTTTTGCGGACATTAACATGGGTCACTGATGAATCGGGGCCATAGTGTCAAATGCAGGGCAGTGGAACCCCATGGGGATCCCTGAACCAACAGAAAGCAAGCCTATAGCTGACACATTTGATATGACTCCCCCGGTCTCTAAATAACACATGCTGTCTTGCCTGGCCTTTTTCTTTTTGTTCTCCTGCCCTGACTTCTCACCCCTGCTCCGGGGACTTTCTTCTCAAACCTACCACTTGCGCGTGGGCTCTGTCTTTGATCCTAATTTTCAGGTGTTGGGGGAGGTGGGCTCTGACTTCAACAAAAATACCCCATCTGGGCCTTCTTGGTGACACAAGGGGTTAAGTACCACACTATGAAGCAATCTGAAGCCTCTGCAGTGTGAGTTCAATCTCCGGCCTGCCAGGGAGCAACCCACATGGCGCAGCAGACCTCTCCTGACTCACCGGCTGCTCCCTTCAACAGTGTACTTCCATCAGTCTGCCTGTTCTGTTCCCCACTGTCTCTGGTGAGTCCTCTCACCCCCTGCATCTCTGGCCAGTGCCCCAGCTCTTGTATGCATAAATAAATCTTTAAAAAAAATACCCCATCTAACAGATCATCCAAGTCTCATTGATTCTATTTCTAATTGTCTTTTTAAATTTTCTCTGTTCCTGCTCCTGCTCTGCTAGGTCAGACCTCGTCACTGCCAGCCTGAATTAGTATTAGGATTCCTAACTGCTCTTTTTACCTTTTTTTGCTTCACCCATCACCTCCCCCACAAAAACTTCCACCTCCTCTGCTTCAGAGTGAACCATCTAATATAGGGGGTAACTACTCACTTTTGGCAGCTCCCATTATGTACAAAATAAAGCCCACATTCCCTCACCATGGTGTCCATGATAGCACTAGGCATCCGCAACCCACCTCCCAGCCCCTCCACACCTCCCCTGGCCACACTGGATTACCCACCTTCCAAGGTTCCTGTTTCCTCCCTGGAAACCTTTATTTAGGGAGCCTTTCTACTCAGTCCTGTTTAGTCCATCAATTGCCCACTTGAATTCCAGGCACAAAGAGTAGCAGTTTCTGCCATCTGAGGGGTGAGAAGCATATCACACCATAGTGAGCAGGGGGAGACCCTACAAATTACTGAGGTAATTCTGTACCAAATATGCTGCATGTCCACACAATCCCATGTAAAATTTTTGAGTCATCTGT